AGTAGCTGACGTGTATAGTGTTGAGTCATCCGCATACATAGACACACTGGCTTTACGCAAAGCTAGTGGCATGTCGTTAATAAAGATTGAAAAAAAGTAAGGGTCTAGACAGCTGCCCTGGGGAATTCCTGATTCTACCTGGATTATGTTGGAGAGGCTTCCATTAAAGAACACCCTCTGTGTTCTGTTAGACAGGTAACAGGCAGAAGAGTGGAAACTGGAGCAGCAGCACGACATCGAGTCATCAGGCCAGGTAGTCCTAAGGCATGGTCCTAGGGCTCAGGTCCTCCGGGATGGGAGGGTGAGAGAGAGAATTAGAGGGAGCATACTTAAATTCACACAGGACGCCGGATAAGACAGAAGAATAACACTAGATATAACAGACTGACCCTAGCCCCCCGACACATAGACTATTGCAGCATAGATGCTGGAGGCTGAGACAGGGGGGGTCGGGAGACACTGTGGCCCCGTCCGACGATACCCCCGGACAGGGCCAACCAGGCAGGATATAACCCCACCCACTTTGCCAAAGTGCAGCCCCCACACCACCAGAGGGATATCAACAGACCACCAACCTACTACCCTGAGACAAGGCTGAGTATAGCCCACGAAGATCTCCTCCACTGCACGAGCCCGAGGATGCGACAAACCGGATAGGAGGATCACGTTAGTGACTCAACCCACTCAAGTGATGCACCCCTCCTAGGGACGGCATGGAAAGCACCAGTAAGCCAGTGACTCAGCCCCCGTAATAGGGTCAGAGGCAGAGAATCCCAATGGAGAGACAGGAACCGGCCAGGCAGAGATAGCAAGGGCGGTTTGTCGCTCCAGTGCCTTTCCGTTCACCTTCGCACTGCTGGGCCAGACTACACTCAATCATAGGACCTACTTCATGTCTCTTCTATGACTAAATTGTTTTCAATAAAACGTCACAAGGTGTACAGTTGTGGTCAAGTATTGGTCTTCACAAAGTTTGCGGCTTCAGTGTTTTTAGATATTTTTGTCAGATGTTACTATGGTATACTGAAGTATAATTACAAGCATTCCATAAGTGTCTAAGGCTTTTATTGACAATTACAATTACATTTATGCAAAGAGTCAATATTTGCAGTGTTGACCCTTCTTTTTCAAGACCTCTGCAATCCGCCCTGGCATGCTGTCAATTAACTTCTGGGCCACATCCTGACTGATGGCAGCCCATTCTTGCATAATCAATGCTCGGAGTTTGTCAGAATTTGTGGGTTTTTGTTTGTCCACCCGCCTCTTGAGGATTGACCACAAGTTCTCAATGGGATTAAGGTCTGGGGAGTTTCCTGGCCATGGACCCACAATGTCGATGTTTTGTTCCCTGAGCCACTTAGTTATCACTTTTGCATTATGGCAAGGTGCTCCATCATGCTGGAAAAGGCATTGTTCGTCACCAAACTGTTCTTGGATGGTTGGGAGAAGTTGCTCTCGGAGGATATGTTGGTACTATTCTTTATTCATGGCTGTGTTCTTAGGCATAATTGTGAGTGCGCCCGCTCCCTTGGCTGAGAAGCAACCCCACACATGAATGGTCTCAGGATGCTTTACTGTTGGCATGACACAGGACTGATGGTAGCGCTCACCTTGTCTTCTCCGTATAAGGTGTTTTCCGGATGCCCCAAACAATCGGAAAGGGGATTCATCAGAGAAAATAACTTTACCCCAGTCCTCAGCAGTCCAATCCCTGTACCTTTTGCAGAATATCAGTCTGTCCCTGATGTTTTTCCTGGAGAGAAGTGGCTTCCTCGCTGCCCTTCTTGACACCAGGCCATCCTCCAAAAGTCTTCGCCTCACTGTGCGTACAGATGCACTCACACCTGCCTGCTGCCATTCCTGAGCAAGCTCTGCCCTGGTGGTGCCCCGATCCCGCAGCTGAATCAACTTTAGGAGATGGTCCTGGCGCTTGCTGGACTTTCTTGGGCGCCCTGAAGCCTTCTTCACAACAATTGAACCTCTCTCCTTGAAGTTCTTGATCATCCGATAAATTGTTGATTTTAGGTGCAATCTTACTAGCAGCAATATCCTTGCCTGTGAAGCCCTTTTTGTGCAAAGCAATGATGACGGCACGTGTTTCCTTGCAGGTAACCATGGCTAACAGAGGAAGAACAATGATTTCAAGCACCACCCTCCTTTTAAAGCTCCAGTCTGTTATTCTAACTCAATCAGCATGACAGAGTGATCTCCAGCCTTGTCCTCGTCAACACTCTCACCTGTGTTAACGAGAGAATCACTGACATGGTCAGCTTGTCCTTTTGTGGCAGGGCTGAAATGCAGTGGAAATGTTTTTTGGGGATGAAGTTAATTTTCATGGCAAAGAGGGACTTTGAAATTAATTGCAATTAATCTGATCACTCTAAAAAAACATTCTGGAGTATATGCAAATTGCCATCATAAAAACTGAGGCAGCAGACTTTGTGAAAAATAAATAAGATTTGTGTCATTCTCAACTTTTGACCACGACTGTTCGATTTGCCTGCTGGGGGGCAAGGAGACCAACAGCTCTGCTAAAACCATTGACAACTGCGTGCTGTTTAAGGGATTGTTAATTATTTGGTCTTGAAGAGCATAGTCAGACCTACATATTTCAGATTATTCCATGCAAAACAATTGTGCACATTTAGCTCTATCAGTTATACAGCAAGTAACTGCATGCTTTTCATGATCAGTAAACATCAATTGATCATGTAATTTCAGATACGTAGGGTAGCCTCACGATATCTCTCAATATTGGGAGCCATTTTATATTTGAGTGATATAAAATAAAAGTGAACTATGCCTGACAAGGATGAGTGGTTTAGATTAATTTCCCATCTTTTGTGGGCTCTGCCTGTCACGCAGCAGAAGGGCGCATTTGCTGTGGTACTGTTGGCTGATGTTTACTTTGCAAGCTACCGGTATAAACGTTGTACAGTTGGCTGAACATATAGTGAATGGGAAGTAGATCTAATGTACTTTTTTCTCCAACCAATGTAGGCCTACCTAGCGAAGTCAGCTAACATGATCCCCTTTTTTAAATGTATGCACGCATGACTGGAAGTCGCTTTGGATAAAAGTGTCTGCTAAATGGCATATATATATATATATATATATATATATATATATATATATATATATATATATATATATATATATATATATATATATATATATATATATATATATATATATATACTGCTCAGAAAAATAAAGGGAACACTTAAACAACACAATGTAACTCCAAGTCAATCACACTTCTTTGTGCAAGGAGGAGCAGGAGGAGCACTGCCAGAGCCCTGCAAAATGACCTCCAGCAGGCCACAAATGTGCATGTGTCTGCTGAAACGGTCAGAAACAGACTCCATGAGGGTGGTATGAGGGCCCGATGTCCACAGGTGGGGGTTGTGCTTACAGCCCAACACCGTGCAGGACGTTTGGCATTTGCCAGAGAACACCAAGATTGGCAAATTCGCCACTGTGCTCTTCACAGATGAAAGCAGGTTCACACTGAGCACATGTGACAGAGTCTGGAGACGCCGTGGAGAACGTTCTGCTGCCTGCAACATCCTCCAGCATGACCGGTTTGGCGGTGGGTCAGTCATGGTGTGGGGTGGCATTTATTTGGGGGGCCGCACAGCTCTCCATGTGCTCGCCAGAGGTAGCCTGACTGCCTTTAGGTACCGAGATGAGATCCTCAGACCCCTTGTGAGACCATATGCTGGTGCGGTTGGCCCTGGGTTCCTCCTAATGCAAGACAATGCTAGACCTCATGTGGCTGGAGTGTGTCAGCAGTTCCTGCAAGAGGAAGGCATTGATGCTATGGACTGGCCCGCCCGTTCCCCAGACCTGAATCCAATTGAGCACATCTGGGACATCATGTCTCGCTCCATCCACCAACGCCACGTTGCACCACAGACTGTCCAGGAGTTGGCGGATGCTTTAGTCCAGGTCTGGGAGGAGATCCCTCAGGAGACCATCCGCCACCTCATCAGGAGTATGCCCAGGCGTTGTAGGGAGGTCATACAGGCACGTGGAGGCCACACACACTACTGAGCCTCATTTTGACTTGTTTTAAGGACATTACATCAAAGTTGGATCAGCCTGTAGTGTGGTTTTCCACTTTAATTTTGAGGGTGACTCCAAATCCAGACCTCCATGGGTTGATAAATTTGATTTCCATTGATCATTTTTGTGTGATTTTGTTGTCAGCACATTCAACTATGTAAAGACAAAAGTATTTAATAAGATTATTTCATTCATTCAGATCTAGGATGTGTTATTTTAGTGTTCCCTTTATCTTTTTGAGCAGTATATATATATATATATATATATATATATATATATATATATATATATATTTTTTTTTTTTCAACATTGTTTTTAATTACCATTGCTGTTGACAGACATGATATTGGCTACATTGATTTATGGACCACGTCAAATTGGCTAGCTTGCTAATAACAGATCACGTCAATATGGCTAGTTAACAAGTGAACTTTCGGGGATAAACTAGATGATTTGCTTGCCATCTATAGTGGTGATGACAGTAGTCCAACTGACAACTTTACCAGGACGAGGTCTTGCCGATGTCAAGCTCTTTCCAAAAGCCTAATCTCTGATGAAGCAAGCCAAATTATGCTTTTTGCTTAGCTAGCTAAATGCCAAATGGATAGGTACCTTCACGTATCTGAAATTACATAATCGTTGATGTTTACTGATCATGAAAAGCATACAGTTACTTGCTGTATAACTCTGATGGAGCTAAATGTGTGCAATTGTTTTGCATGGAATAATCAGAAATGTGTAGTTCTGACTATGCTCAATAAGTGATGATATTAAAGCCAAATAGTTGACTTCCGGCAATGGCGAAGCTCTAACAAGTTGCGTCTGCGTAGCGTCCTCTAACTTTATATATTTTTAATGGCATTTTGACACTTTACCTGTTCGTTAATAGTTAGTTGGAAGTTAAAACATCTATTTTATCGCCAAAACAAAAGATGCCTAATCTTGCAAAGCCTCAGACGAGGCATGGAAAAGTGCCCCCCTCTGACAGCCCTTCTTCGGCCTCGGCAGATGCTAGCTCGGAAGAAGCACCAGCATGGTTCAGAATGGAGATGGACAAGGGTATAACAAAAATTCAAGAGGCACTTTCTGAACGCCTCATCAAAATTGATATGCTGGTCGATAAACTCCACGAAGACCAGAATGTCACAAAGGGACGAGTGACAAAGTTAGAAAAAGACCATGCTGACCACCAGGCTGCCATCCTGGACGTCCCCGAGGACGTGGATCAAAAGTACAAGAAGTTGGAAGACACCATCTCTAAACTCGAGGAGAAATTTGATTGTTATGAACATTTCCAGAAGCGCTCGAATTTGAGATTAAGGTTTCCCGGAGGAAGAGACGCCATCTCCTGTCTAAAGGAATGGATTCCCAAAATTCTGGATCTACCCCCCTTTCTGCGCACCCATTGGAAATCAAGAGGGCCCATCACACGCTACGGAGGCGGCTGCCTGGCCAGGTTGCACCCAGGGCATTTGTCATTACATTTTTACAGTATTGTGTCCGCATCCTCTCTGCTGCCTGAGCAAAAGGAGAGCTCAAGTACGAAGATGCCAGAATCCGGATCTTCCTCCCATACTACACGAGGAGGATGGCTTTCTCCCCACTGAAGAGGCTTCTGCGGCAGGCTGGCTTGGCATACGGCCTGCGCTACCTGTCGACTTTGTGGATCGAAACCAAGAATGGTGAGCGCACATTTGACTCTGTGAAGACAGCTGAAACATACATGAGGAAAGAACTCCCCAACTTGTTCGCCTACTACATCATGAGGAACTGTATTTTGAACTTAGATACTGTGGATAGTGAACTGTTAGAACATGAGGATACAACGAAATGACTCGTAGGATCGACTGGCTGGCACGGCTGGCTGGCTAGATGGCCATAGCTATTGTTGGCTGCGCTATTTAGCCAGCTCGCTAAGTTTACAAGGGTGTGACTATAGCTATAGCCACACTATGCCAGGTAGTTACATTTATTTTCGGAGTATATATTTATTTTACGCATAGAGATCCAGTCGGGTTTGGTTAAATAGTTATGTGGCTTTAGACTGGATTTCAAGCCTAACTGTTGTTTATATTACTTCAGGGAATTTATTTGCTATTACTTTTTCTGGCTTGTTTATTGTTAGATGTATGCTAGCGTTAGTGATACCGAGGCAGGGATAAGCTACACACTGGCTGGCCGCCTAATTGCCAGCTAGCTGATAGCTTTACAGTTGTGTGTGTGTATATATACAGTTGAAGTCGGAAGTTTACATACACTTAGGTTGGAGTCATTAAAACTAGTTTTTCAACCACTCCACAAATTTCTTGTTAACAAACTATAGTTTGGTAAGTCGGTTAGGACTTCTACTTTGTGCAGGACACAAGTAATTTTTCCAACAATTGTTTACAGACAGATTATTTTACTTATAATTCACTGTATCACAATTCCAGTTGGTCAGAAGTTTACATACACTAAGTTGACTGTGCCTTTAAACAGCTTGGAAAATTCCAGAAAATTATGTGATGGCTTTAGAAGCTTCTGATAGGCTAATTGACACCATTTGAGTCAATTGGAGGTGTACCTGTGGATGTATTTCAAGGCCTACCTTCAAACTCAGTGCCTCTTTGCTTGACATCATGGGAAAATCAAAAGAAATCGTCCAAATTGTAGACCTCCACAAGTCTGGTTCATCCTTGGGAGCAATTTCCAAACGCCTGAAGGTACCACGTTCATCTGTACAAACAATAGTACGCAAGTATGTACACCATGGGACCACGCAGCCGTCATACTGCTCAGGAAGGAGACGCGTTCTGTCTGCTAGAGATTAACGTACTTGGGTGCGAAAAGTGCAAATCAATCCCAGAACAACAGCAAAGGACCTTGTGAAGATGCTGGAGGAAACGGGTACAAAAGTAACTATGTCCACAGTAAAACGAGTCCTATATCGACATAACCTGAAAGGCCGCTCAGCAAGAAAGCCACTGCTCTAAAACGGCCATAAAAAAGGCAGACTACGGTTTGCAACTGCACATGGGGACAAAGATCGTACTTTTTGGAGAAATGTCCTCTGGTCTGAAGAAACAAAAATAGAACTGTTTGGCCATAATGACCATCGTTATATTTGGAGGAAAAAGGGGAATGCTTGCAAGCCGAAGAACACCATCCCAACCGTGAAGCACGGGGTGGCAGCATCATGCTGTGGGGGTGCTTTGCTGCAGGAGGGGCTGGTGCACTTCACAAAATAGATGGCATCAGTCAAGACATCAGTCAGGAAGTTAAAGCTTGGTCGCAAATGGGTCTTCCAAATGGACAATGACCCCAAGCATACTTCCAAAGTTGTGGCAAAATGGCTTAAGGACAACAAAGTCAAGGTATTGGAGTGGCCATCACAAAGCCCTGACCTCAATCCTATAGAAAATGTGTGGGCAGAACTGAAAAAGCGTGTGCGAGCAAGGAGGCCTACAAACCTGACTCAGCTACACCAGCTCTGTCAGGAGGAATGGGCCAACATTCACCCAACTTATTGTGGGAAGCTTGTGGAAGGCTACCCGAAATGCTACCAAATACTAATTGAGTGTATGTAAACTTCTGACTCACTGGGAATGTGATGACGAAATAAAAGCAGAAATAAATCATTCTCTCTACTATTTATTCTGACATTTCACATTCTTAAACTAAAGTGGTGATCCTAACTGACCTAAAACAGGGCATTTCTACTAGGACTAAATGTCAGGAATTGTGAAAAACTTAGTGTAAATGTATTTGGCTAAGGTGTATGTGAATTTCTGACTTCAACTGTGTGTATATATATATATATATATATGTGTGTATTTATATATGTGTATATAGTGTGTGTGTGTATATATGTGTATATAGTGTGTGTGTGTGTGTGTGTGTGTGTATATATATGTATGTGTATATATTGTGTGTGTGTACTGTACCAGTCAAAAGTTTGGACACCTACTAATTCAAGGGTTTTTATTTATTTGTACTATATTCTACATTGTAGAATAATAGTGAAGACATCAAAACTATGAAATAACACATGGACTCATGTAGTAACCAAAAAAGTGTTAAACAAATCAAAATATATTTGAGATTCTTCAAATAGCCACCCTTTGCCTTGACGACAGCTTTGCACACTCTTGGCATAACTATACATTTGTGACACTTAACGTTAGGGGTACTAAATGCCCAGTCAAGCGCAAACGCATTCTGAATTATCTAAAGCAGCATAAGGTTGATATAGCTCTTCTTCAGGAGACACACCTGACTGACTCTGAGCATTATAAACTGAAGAGCGAGTAGGTGGGTCAAGTGTACTTATTCATCTTTCACCTCTCGGGCAAGAGGGGTGGCCATTCTCATTAATAAGCATTGCCCCTTTCCGCTACAATCTCAGATTTAAAGACAAAGGGGATAGGTTTGTGATCATTTAAGGTTTCATTAACACTGAGCCCATTACCATTGTGAATGTGTATGGGCCTAACCATTTTACCAAGACATCATTTTGAAGTTAATGTGCATCAAATATAATAATGGCAGGGGATTTTAACTTGTTACTGGACCCTTCCAGTGATAGACCTTCCTCATTGTACTGGCGCCAACGAAGATGGCGGCCTCGCGACTAGCTCTTTGCAGTATTTTGTTTTTTTATGTATTATTTTTTACATTATTAGCTCAGAAAGTGTTTTGTATCATTACATACAGCCGGGGAAAACTATTGGATATCAGAGCGGGATAACTCACCAGCATTACGACCAGGAATACGACTTTCCCGAAGCAGATCCGTTGTTTGCTCTCCCCAGGGCAATTTAACTGAATCCAGCGGCTGACCCAAAACATCGCCGGCGGAGGAGAGGCACTCGGAGCAGCCTGCTGGTTCGACTTAGGACTTAGGAAGCGCCGGAAGAAGATGGCTGCCGTTTTACAGCCCTCTAACCAATTGTACTATTATGTGTGTTTTTCCGCGTTATTTGTAATTTATTTTGTACATAATGTTTATGCCATCGTCTCTTATAACCAAAGAGAGCTTCTGGATATCAGGACAGCGATTACTCACCTCGCGTTGGACGAACACTTTTTCTTCAACGAGGCGTTCGCGAAGGATATTCTACAGACTCCGGACAAGGCCCAGATCCCCGTCATTCGCGTGAGGAAGAGACGGAGATATCGTGGACGTAGGTCGGGGTGCCTTGTAAGGATCCGACGGCGAACGAGTAAACTGCCTCTCCCATCAATCCTATTAGCCAACGTTCAAGCTTTGGAGAATAAAATGGACGATTTAAGATTACGGTTATCCTACCAACGGGACATTAAAAACTGTAATATCTTATGTTTCACGGAGTCGTGGCTGAATGACAACAATGACAACATTCAGCTAGCAGGCTATACGCTACATCGGCAGGACAGAACGGCAGACTCGGGTAAGACGAGGGGTGGCGGTCTCTGTATTTTTGTAAACAACAGCTGGTGCACAAAATCAAATACTAAGGAAGTCTCGGTTTTGCTCGCCTGAGGTAGAGTATCTTATGATAAGCTGTAGACCACACTATTTACCAAGAGAGTTTTAATCTATACTTTTCATAGCTGTCTATTTACCACCACAAACCAATGCTGGCATTAAGATTGCACTGAATGAGTTGTACAAGGCCATTAATCAACAGGAAAACGCTCATCCAGATGCAGCGCTCCTAGTAGCAGGGGACTTTAATGCAGGGAAACTTAAATCCGTTCTACCTCATTTCTACCAGCATGTTAAATGTGCAACCAGAGGGGAAAAAACTCTAGACCACCTTTACTCCACACACAGAGACGCATACAAAGCTCTCCCTCGCCCTCCATTTGGCAAATCTGACCATAACTCTATCCTCCTGATTCCTGCTTATAAGCAAAAACTGAAGCAGGAAGCACCAGTGATTCGGCTAATAAAAAAGTGGTCAGATGACGCAGATGCTAAGCTACAGGACTGTTTTGCTAGCACAGACTGGAACATGTTCCGGGATTCTTCAGACAGCATTGAGGAGTACACCACATCAGTCACTGGCTTCATCAATAAGTGCATCGATGATGTCGTCCCCACAGTGACCGTACGTACATACCCCAACCAGAAGCCATGGATTACAGGAAACATCCGCACTGAGCTAAAGGGTAGAGCTGCCGCTTTCAAGGAACGGGACTCTAACCTGGACGCTTATAAGAAATCCCGCTATGACCTCTGACGAACCATCAAACAGGCAAAGAGTCAATACAGGTCTAAGATTGAATCATACTACACTGGCTCTGACGCTCGTCGGATGTGGCAGGGCTTGAAAACTATTACAGACTACAAAGGGAAGCACAGCCGCGAGCTGCCCAGTGACACAAGCCTACCAGACGAGCTAAACCACTTCTATGCTCGCTTCGAGGCAAGCAACACTGAAGCATGCATGAGAGCACCAGCTGTTCCGGATGACTATGTGATCACGCTCTCCGTAGCCGATGTGAGTAAGACTTTTAAGCAGGTCAACATTCACAAGGCCGCAGGGCCAGACGGATTACCAGGACGTGTACTCCGAGCATGTGCTGACCAACTGGCAAGTGTCTTCACTGACATTTTCAACATGTCCCTGACTGAGTCTGTAATACCAACATGTTTCAAGCAGACCACCATAGTCCCCGTGCCCAAGAACTCTAAGATAACCTGCCTAAATGACTACCGACCCGTGGCACTGACGTCTGTAGCCATGAAGTGCTTTGAAAGACTGGTCATGGCTCACATCAACAGCATAATCCCAGAAACCCTAGACCCACTCCAATTTGCATACCGCCCCAACAGATCCACAGATGATGCAATCTCTATCGCACTCCACACTGCCCTTTCCCACCTGGACAAGAGGAACACCTACGTGAGAATGCTATTCATTGACTACAGCTCAGCATTCAACACCATAGTGCCCTCAGCTCATCACTAAGCTAAGGATCCTGGGACTAAACACCTCCCTCTGCAACTGGATCCTGGACTTCCTGACGGGCCGCCCCCAGGTGGTAAGGGTAGGTAACAACACATCTGCCACACTGATCCTCAACACGGGGGCCCCTCAGGGGTGCGTGCTCAGTCCCCTCCTGTACTCTCTGTTCACCCATGACTGCATGGCCAGGCACGACTCCAACACCATCATTAAGTTTGCCGACGACACAACAGTGGTAGGCCTGATCACCGACAACAATGAGACAGCCTATAGGGAGGAGGTCAGAGATCTGGCCGTGTGGTGCCAGGACAACAACCTCTCCCTCAACGTGACCAAGACAAAGGAGATGATTGTGGACTACAGGAAAAAAAAGAGGACTGAGCACGCCCCCATTCTCATCGACGGGGCTGTAGTGGAACAGGTTGAGAGCTTCAAGTTCCTTGGTGTCCACATCACCAACGAACTATCATGGTCCAAACACACCAAGACAGTCGTGAAGAGGGCACGACAAAGCCTATTCCCCCTCAGGAGACTAAAAAGATTTGGCATGGGTCCTCAGATCCTCAAAAAATTCTACAGCTGCACCATCGAGAGCATCCTGACTGGTTGCATCACCGCCTGGTATGGCAACTGCTTGGCCTCTGACCGCAAGGCACTACAGAGGGTAGTGCGTACGGCCCAGTACATCACTGGGGCAAAGCTCCCTGCCATCCAGGACCTCTATACCAGGCGGTGTCAGAGGAAGGCCCTCAAAATTGTCAAAGACTCCAGCCACCCTAGTCATAGACTGTTCTCTCTGCTACCGCACGGCAAGCGGTACCGGAGTGCCAAGTCTAGGTCCAAAAGACTTCTCAACAGCTTCTACCCCCAAGCCATAAGACTCCTGAACAGCTAATCATGGCTACCCGGACTATTTGCACTGCCCCCCCACCCCATCCTTTTTACGCTGCTGCTACTCTGTTAAGTATTTATGCATAGTCACTTTAACTCTACCCACATGTACATATTACCTCAACTAGCCGGTGCCCCCGCACACTGACTATGCAACGGTACCCCCCTGTATATATAGCCTCCCTACTGTCACTTTATTCTATTGTATATATAGCCTCCCTACTGTCACTTTATTTTTTACTTCTGCTCTTTTTTTCTCAACACTTTTTTGTTGTTGTTTTATTCTTACTTTTTTGTTTAAAATAAATGCACTGTTGGTTAAGGGCTGTAAGTAAGCATTTCACTGTAATGTCTGCACCTGTTGTATTCGGCGCATGTGACCAATAAAATTTGATTTGATTTGATTCCAAGTATACTACTTGCTAATGTTCAGTCTTTGGTTAACAAGATCGACTAACTCCGGGCAAGGATTTCTTTCCAGAGAGACATCAAGGCCTGTAACATACTTTGTTTCACGGAAACATGGCTCTCTTGGGATATTCTGTCGAAATCGGTCCAGCCAGAGGGGTTCTCAGTTCATCGCGCAGACAGGAATAAATATATCCGGGAAGCAGAAGGGCGGAGGTGTGTGTTTCATGATTAACGACTCATGGTGTAATTGTAGTAACATACAGGAACTCAAGTCATTTTGTTCACCCGACCTAGAATATCTCACAATCAAATGCCGACCGTATTATCTCCCAAGATAATTTTCTTCGGTTATAGTCACAGCCGTGTATATCCCCCCCCTGAAGCCGATACCATGACGGCCCTCAAAGAACTTCACTGGACTTTATGCAAACTGGAAACCACATATCCTGAGGCTGCATTTATTGTAGCCGGGGATTTTAACAAAGCAAATTTGAGGACTAGGCTGCCGAAGTTCTATCAACATATCGACTGTTGTACTCGTGCTGCCAAAACCCTCGACCATTGCTATTCGAACTTCCGGGATGGTTATTTGGCCCTCCGCCGCCCTCCTTTCTGCAAATCTGACCACGACTCCATTTTGCTCCTCCCTTCCTATAGGCAGAAACTCAAACAGGAAATACCAATCGGAGTCCACGCTTCAAGATTGTTTTGATCACGCGGACTGGGATATGTTCCGGGTAGCTTCCGAAAATAATTTCGACGAATACACTGAAACAGTGACTGAGTTTATCAGGAAGTGTATTGGTGATGTTGTGACTATTAAAACCTATCCTAACCAGAAACCGTGGATAGATGGCAGCATTCGTGCCAATCTGAAAGCGTGAACCACTGCATTCAACCATTGCAAGGTGACTGGGAATATGGCAGAATACAAACAGTGTAGCTACTCACTCCGCAAGGCAATTAAACTGGCAAAACATCAGTATAGAGACAAAGTGGAGTCGCAATTCAACGGCTCAGACACGAGACGTATGTGGCAGGGTCTACAGATAATCACGGACTACAAAAGGAAAACCAGCCACGTCGCCGACACGACGTCTCGCTTCCAGACAAGCTAAACACCTTCTTCGCCCGCTTTGAGGATAACACAGTGCCACTGACGAGGCCCACTATCAAGGACTGTGGCCTCTCCTTCTCCGTGGCCGACGTGATTAAGACATTTAAGCATGTTAACCCCCGCAAGGCTGCCGGCCCAGACGGCATCCCTAGCCACATCCTCAGAGCATGCGCAGACCAGCTGGCTGGTGTGTTTATGGACATATTCAATCTCTCCCTTTCCCAGTCTGCTGTTCCCACATGCTTCAAGATGGCCACTATTGTTCCTGTACCCAAGAAAGCAAAGGTAACTGAGCTAAATGACTATCGCCCTATAGCACTCACCTCTGTCATCATGAAGTGCTTTGAGAGTCAAGGATCATATCACCTCTACCTTACCTGTCGCCCTAGACCAACTTCAATTTGCTTACCTCCCCAATAGATCCACAGATGAAGCAATTGCCATCACACTGCACACTGCCCTATCCCATCTGGACAAGAGGAATACCTACAGTGAGGGAAAAAAGTATTTGATCCCCTGCTGATTTTGTACGTTTGCCCACTGACAAAGACATGATCAGTCTATAATTTTAATGGTAGGTTTATTTGAACAGTGAGAGACAGAATAACATCAAAAAAATCCAGAAAAACGCATGTCAAAAATGTTATAAATTGATTTGCATTTTAATGAGGGAAATAAGTATTTGACCCCTCTGCAAAACATGACTTAGTACTTGGTGGCAAAACCCTTGTTGGCAATCACAGAAGTCAGACGTTTCTTGTAGTTGGCCACCAGGTTTGCATACATCTCAGGAGGGATTATGTCCCACTCCTCTTTGCAGATCTTCTCCAAGTCATTAAGGTTTCGAGGCTGACGTTTGGCAACTCGAACCTTCAGCTCCCGCCACAGATTTTCTATGGGATTAAGGTCTGGAGACTGGCTAGGTCACTCCAGGACCTTAATGTGCTTCTTCTTGAGCCACTCCTCTGTAGCCTTGGCCGTGTGTTTTGGGTCATTGTCATGCTGGAATATCTTTCCACGACCCATTTTCAATGCCCTGACTGAGGGAAGGAGGTTCTCACCCTAAATGTGATGGTACATGGCCCCATCCATTGTCCCTTTTGATGCGGTGAAGTTGTCCTGTCCCCTTAGCAGAAAAACACCCCCAAAGCATAATGTTTCCACCTCCATGTTTGACGGTGGGGATGGTGTTCTTGGGGTCATAGGCAGCATTCCTCCTCCTCCAAACACAGCTAGTTGAGTTGATGCCAAAGAGCTCCATTTTGGTCTCATCTGACGACAACAATTTCACCCAGTTCTCCTCTGAATCATTCAGATGTTCATTGGCAAACTTCAGACGGGCATGTATATGTGCTTTCTTGAGCAGGGGGACCTTGCGGGCGCTGCAGGATTTCAGTCCTTCACAGCGTAGTGTGTTACCAATTGTTTTTTTGGTGACTATGGTCCCAGCTGCCTTGAGATCATTGACAAGATCCTCCTGTGTAGTTCTGGGCTGATTCCTCACCGTTCTCATGATCATTGCAACTCCAGGCCGAGGGAGATTGACAGTTATTTTGTGTTTCTTCCATTTGCGAATAATCGCACCAACTGTTGTCACCTTCTCACCAAGCTGCTTGGCGATGGTCTTGTAGCCCATTCCAGCCTTGTGTAGGTCTACAATCTTGTCCCTGACATCCTTGGAGAGCTCTTTGGTCTTGGCCATGGTGGAAAGTTTGGAATCTGATTGATTGCTTCTGTGGACAGGTGTCTTTTATACAGGTAACAAGCTGAGATTAGGAGCACTCCCTTTAAGAGTGTGCTCCTAATCTCAGCTCGTTACCTGTATAAAAGACACCTGGGAGCCAGAAATCTTTCTGATTGAGAGGGGTCAAATACTTATTTCCCTCATTAAAATGCAAATCAATTTATAATATTTTTGACATGCGTTTTTTCTGGATTTTTTTGTTGTTATTCTGTCTCTCACTGTTCAAATAAACCTACCATTAAAATGATAGACTGATCATTTCTTTGTCAGTGGGCAAACGTACAAAATCAGCAGGGGATCAAATACTTTTTTCCCTCACTGTATGTAAGAATGCTGTTCATTGACTATAGCTCAGCATTCAACACCAGTGTACCCTCCAAGCTCATCATCAAGCTTAAGGCCCTGGGTCTGAACCCCGCCCTGTGCAACTGGGTCCTGGGCTTCCTGACGGGCCGCCCCCAGGTGGTGAAGGTAGGAAACAACATCTCCACTTCCCTGATCCTCAACACTGGGGCCCCACAAGGGTGCGTGCTCAGCCCCCTCCTGTATTCCCTGTTCACCCATGACCGCGTGGCCAAGCACGCCTCCAACTCAATCATCAAGTTTGCAGACGACAACAGTAGTAGGCTTGATTACTAACAATGACGAGACCGCCTACAGGTAGGAGGTAAGGGCTCTGGGAGTGAGGTGCCAGGAAAATAACCTCTCATTCAACGTCACCAAAACAAAGGAGATGATCGTGGACTTCAGGAAACAGCAGAGGGTGCACCCCCCTATCCACATCGACGGGACCGCAGTGGAGGTGGAAAGCTTCAAGTTCCTTGGCGTACACATCACCGACAAACTGAAATGGTCCACCCACGCAGACAGTATGGTGAAGAAGGCACAACAGAGCCTCTTCAACCTCAGGAGGCTGAAGAAATTCGGCTTGGCACCTAATACCCTCACAAACTTTTACAGCTGCACAATTGAGAGCATCCTGTCGGGCTGTATCACCACCTGGTACGGCAACTGCACCGCCTGCAACCGCAGGGCTCTCCAGAGGGTGGTGCGGTCTGCCGAACGCATTATCGGGGGAAAACTACCCGCCCTCCAAGACACATACAGCACCCGATGTCACAGGAAGGCCAAAAAGATCATCAAGGACAACCACCCGTGCCACTGCCTGTTCACCCCACTATCATCCAGAAGGTGAGGTCAGTACATGTGCATCAAAGCTGGGACCGAGAGAATGAAAAACAGCTTCTATCTCAAGGCCATCAGACTATTAAATAGCCATCACTAGCACATTAGACGCTGCTGCTGCCTATTGAAATCACTGGCCACTTTAAGAAATGGAACACTAGTCGCTTTAATTATGTTTACAGTCACTTTAATAATGTTTACATATCTTGCACTACTCATCTCATATGCATATGTCTCCTGAGTGGCGCAGTGGTCTAAGGCTGAGCTATAGCTAGCTGTGCCACTAGAGATCCTGGTTCGAATCCAGGCTCTGTCGCAGCCGGCCGCGACCGGGAGACTCATGGGCAGCGCACAATTGGCCTAGCGTTGTCCAGGGTAGGGGAGGGAATGGCCGGCAGGGATGTAGCTCAGTTGATAGAGCATGGCGTTTGCAACGCCAGGGTTGTGGGTTCAATTCCCACGGGGGACCAGTATGAAAAAAATATATGTATTCACTAACTGTAAGTCGCTCTGGATAAGAGCGTCTGCTAAATGACTAAAATGTAAATGTAATGTATATACTGCATTCTATTCTATAATATTCTACTGTATCTTAGTCCGTGCCGCTCTGTCATTGCTTGTCCATATATGAATATTTTCTTAAATTCCATTCCTTACTAGTTTTTTGTGTATTAGGTATATGTTGTGAAATTGTTAGATATTACTTGTTAGATATTACTGCACTGTCGAAGCTGATTGATAATAGGATCAACCTCACACAGGCAGATAAAATGTTAAAAGCAGAAATGAAAGATTTTGGATTTTGGACAAAAGGTTAAAGAATACTCATTTTACTCCACTGTCCATAACAGTTACTCTAGAATCGACTCTTATTCCTGCAGGCAAGGGAAGTTTAACTACTGTGTGTAAGTATATACCAAGATGTATATCAGATCATTCTGCTCTGCTGGCTTCATTACCAGTCAGTAAAACACAACCACCCTCAAGAAGGTGGAGGTTTGGCACATACTTACTAAATAATCCTACATTTGTAAAATTTCTGAAAACTCATATCGACATATTTCTTAGCACCAATAACAACTCTGCCTCCCCCCTAATTTTATGGGAAGCTCTCCTTGCATATCTGAGGAGGCAAATCATTTTGTTTAGTTCAGGTGCTCGTAAAATGTATAAGGCTCCAAGTAGATTCTTTGGAGAAAGACATTTGAGATCAGGAAAATTAACATAGTATAACATTTGACTACTCAACTACAAAAATTTGACTAAAAGCGATTGGAATATAACACCCTGACGACCCACAAAGCAGAAAACGCACTTAGGAGAACAAAACTACTATGAAGATGGAGATGAAGCAGGAAAGTTGCTTGCTTGGCAGATAAGGAGAGAGAAAGCTAGTAGAGTTATTAGCTCTATAAAGCTGCCCATTAACAGTTGTTCAGGGTCCTGGTCTTTAGGGAGTTTTATGAAACATTGTACAAGTCTGAAGGGGATGCCCCTGCCACAATGCATAAGTTTTTGAACAAACTCAATTTACAAGCTTTAACTGATGAGGATAGAGAGTACTTGGAGAAAGAGATTACATCTGAGGAAATTAGGGAATCCATTTTCAACACTGCTTGGGGAAAATCACCAGGGTTAGATGGATTCCCTATTGAATTCTATAGTTCCTTTTTACCCAAACTGATTGAGCCTCTATGCAATACAGTGGGGGAAAAAAGTATTTAGTCAGCCACCAATTGTGAAAGTTCTCCCACTTAAAAAGATGAGAGGCCTGTAATTTTCATAATAGGTACACGTCAACTATGACAGACAAAATTATACTTTTTTTTCCAGAAAATCACATTGTATTTTTAATGAATTTATTTGCAAATTATGGTGGAAAATAAGTATTTGGTCAATAACAAAAGTTTCTCAATACTTTGTTATATACCCTTTGTTGGCAATGACACAGGTCAAACGTTTTCTGTAAGTCTTCACAAGGTTTTCACACACTTGCTGGTATTTTGGCCCATTCCTCCATGCAGATCTCCTCTAGAGCAGTGATGTTTTGGGGCTGTCGCTGGGCAACACGGACTTTCAACTCCCTCCAAAGATTTTCTATGGGATTGAGATCTGGAGACTGGCTAGGCCACTCCAGGACCTTGAAATGCTTCTTACGAAGCCACTCCTTCGTTGCCCGGGCGGTGTGTTTGGGATCATTGTCATGCTGAAAGACCCAGCCACGTTTCATCTTCAATGCCCTTGCCGATGGAAGGAGGTTTTCACTCAAAATCTCACGATACATGGCCCCATTCATTCTTTCCTTTACACGGATCAGTCGTCCTGGTCCCTTTGCAGAAAAACAGCCCCAAAGCATGATGTTTCCACCCCCATGCTTCACAGTAGGTATGGTGTTCTTTGGATGCAACTCAGCATTCTTTGTCCTCCAAACACGACGAGTTGAGTTTTTACCAAAAAGTTATATTTTTTTTCTTCTCATTTTGTCTGTCATTGTTGACGTGTACCTATGATGAAAATTACAGGCCTCTGTCATCTTTTTAAGTGGGAGAACTTGCACAATTGGTGGCTGACTAAATACTTTTTTTCCCCACTGTATGTTTAATTATGCTATAGAGACAGAAAAGCTCCCAGACACACTTGAACAAGCACTGATCACAGTTTTGTTGAAACCTGGGAAAGATCCTCTGCTTTGTGGGTCGTATAGACCAATATCTTTATTGAACACTTCATATACGATTCTTGCAAAACTCATTGCTCTTAGACTAGATAAGGTTCTCCCTGACTTGGTTGATATGGACCAAACAGGCTTAGTAAGAAACCGCTCATCTCCTGATAATATCAGAAGTTTATTTAATATTATGCATTATGTAGAGAATGACCAAGAACCTGTAGTGGCGGCTTCATTAGATGCGGAAAAAGCTTTTGACCGCATAGAATGGAACTACCTGTTTTGAAGTTTTACAGAGGATGAATATGGGTTGCCCTGCTAGTCCTCTCCTTTTTTCTTTGGCTATAGAGCCACTGGCAGGAGCTTTTAGATCTTAACCATCCATCTATGGTGTTCGTATAGGTGGGCGCGAACATTTGGTCTCGTTATATGCTGATGAAATGTTGCTTTACCTCACTAAATCAGAAATTTCACTCCGAGCATTAGTTGACCTCCTGAAAGAATATGGGACCTTTTCAGGATTTAAAATAAACCTATCGAAGAGTATAGTCATGACTTTTAACAGGGCAGCTATGCAGAATCCAGTCTTAGACCAGCCGTTTTCTTGGAGACCTCAGAAAATGACATATCTAGGATTGCAAATTCCTTCTGAAATTATTAAGACCTATCAACTGAACTATACTCCACTTCTCAAAAAGGTTGGGGAAGAATTGGATAGATGGCGGGATTGACCCATTTCTCTTATTGGGCAGGTCAATTGTGTAAAGATGAATATATTACTGAAATTCTTGTACCATTTTTCTAACCTTGCCCTTTCCTATTCCCAATGTTTTTTTCAAACAACTTAATAGGAAGGTCTCTTAATTTCTGTGGAAAGGGAAACCCCCCAGAGTGAAACTCACAACTTAATGCAAACCATACTCAGGAGGGCTTACTTTACCTGACTTCCAGTTGTATTACTAGGCATCTCAGTTAAAGGCTGTGTGAGTATGGCAAAATACAACAAGTTCACCCTCACCTTTTCTATAATAACCCCATCTTACCCAAAGCCCTGAGAGATGGTATTACATTTTCTTGGTTCAACAAAGGAATTAAAACATTTGGTCATCTGTATAGAGAAGGTGAACAACTGTCCTTTCAACAACTGGCATCTCATTTTCAGTTACCTCAAACTCATTTCTTCAAGTACCTACAGGTTAGGCATTGTATTGCCACTCAGCAGGGAGGTAGGATTCAGCCCATGAGTAAACCTATAACTGATAAACTGTGGCTGGAGAGGAAAGGGATAAAAGGTTTCATTTCTTACAGGTACTCTAGTCTTCAAGCTCTGTTGGGGAACGATGAAGCTCTGAAGGCTTGCATGAAGTGGCATGATGACCTTGGCCTCATTTTTGAGGATGAGAAATGGGGAAAGCTCTTTTTAGATGCTCAGCGTCTTTCATTTAACACAAGTTGATCCAATTCAATATTTTACATAGGGTCTACTTTACACCAAAGAGACTGTATAAGATCAATTCTAAATATTTAAAATGTTGCCCACGGTGTAAAACGGGGGTGGGCACACTTATGCATATGTTTTTGTCCTGCCCTGAACTAGGCAATTATTGGGAAGACCTTATTAAGATCTTATCACAGGTCACTAATATGACTGTACCACTAGATCCTTCTGTTATTCTTCTTGGAGATTACTCTATTCTACCAGTTAATATTGGTAGCAAAACCAGATTCATTAAATTGGCATTCATTACAGCCAATAAATGCACAGCTATTATATGGAAGAGTGACACTCGGCCAAGCAAGCAGATGTTGCTAAAAGAACTAACTTCCTATATTCCATCTGAAAAAATTACGTACAATTTACATAATAGACTCTTTGAATTTACTACTGTCTGGGGGGACTTTCAGCAGTGTCTAGAGTTGTCACCTTAGCTGCCTCATTATTATTTTCTTCATTAATGTATTATTATTTGTTTTTGCGTTTAATTATTATTTTCTAGCATTGGATGTGAAGGTCAGTCTGTTTAGTGTTTTTGTTAATCATTGAAGCTATTACTGGGAGGGGGGTGTTCATGTGTTGGGGAGGGAAGGGTTTTGCACGGTGCTCCCATGTAGCATGCTGTTTTGTGTAGGTCGAAGGAATAACGGGGCATTATCTGTGTCATATTTTGCTGATTTTTAAATTGTAAGAAACGCCAATAAATATATTGTAAAAAAAAAAAAACACGTATTTAATAAGCCCTTAAACAGCACGTGGTTGTCAATGGTTTTAGCGGAGCTGGGGGTCTCCTTGCCCCCCAGCAGCCAAATCGAATGTATTGTGACGTTTTATTGAAAACGACCTATAATAATGGAGAGAGTTTAAGAACCTCTGATCTCCACATTATACACAGACCCCATATGTGAGACTGTGCCTGTTTACTTGATATTCTAACTCCGTTAGAATACTGATCTCGTCACTGGCTCTTTCTCCTACTCACCTCTATTTCTATTTTACTCTTTGTCCCTCTCTAGATTGCTGACCTGGCTAATGAGGACACTCCCCAGCTGTATGTGGCCTGTGGCAGGGGACCCAAATCCACCCTCAGAGTCCTCAGACATGGACTGGAGGTATGTGTACTGCTATTTCACTTCCCATCACACATTCACATCCCAGAAAGTGACATGGCACAGTAGTATTTGGGCAATGACTACATTTGAACACACTCCTGCAGATACTCACTCACATGCACACCAGAAACCAGAGTTTGGCTGAGTTTGGTTTCTAGGTTTTCATTAGTAGCTGTAAAAGTCATGATATTCATGTCTCTTCTCTGACAAAGCACTGGAGAGAATGTGTATACCTCCGATCCCAGCAGATCTTAAAATGTTAATGCACAGGCTGGTAAATGCTTAGGTTAGAAGACAATGAGTATCTATCTGATCAGTGCTTGTTCCCTCCAGGTGTCAGAGATGGCTGTATCTGAGCTGCCCGGTAACCCCAATGCTGTGTGGACTGTGCGCCGACACATTGAAGGTACTTGTTTAAGGTCCAATGCAGCCGTTTTGGTCTCAATATCAAATCATTTCTGGGTAACAAAATACCTTACTGTGATTGTTTTAAATTAAAATGGTCAAAAAGAAAGAAGGAAAAATGCACTACATGACCAAAAGTATGTGAACATCTCATTCCAAATCATGGGCATTTAATATGGAGTTGGTCCCCTCTTTGCTGCTATAACAGCCCCCACTCTTCTTGGAAGGCTTTCCACTAGATGTTGGAACATTGCTGCGGGAACTTGCTTCCATTCAGCCACGAGCATTAGTGAGGTCGGGCACTGATGTCGGGCGATTAGGCCTGGCTCGCGTCTGCTTTCCAATTCATCCCAAAGGTGTTCGATGGGGTTGAGGTCAGGGCTCTGTGCATGCCAGTCAAGTTCTTTCACACCGATCTCAACAAACCATTTCTGTATGGACCTCGCTTTGTGCACGGGGGCATTGTCATGCTGAAACAGGAAAAGGCCTTCCCCAAACTGTTGCCACAAAGTTGGAAGCACAGAATCGTCTAGAATGTCATTGTGTGCTGAAGCGTTAAGATTACCCTTCACTGGAACTAAGGGGCCTAGCCCGAACCATAAAAAACAGCCCCAGGCCGTTATTCCTCCTCCACTAAACTTTACAGTTGGCACTGCATTGGGGCAGGAGGCGTTCTCCTGGCATTCGCCAAACCCAGATTTGACCGTCGGACTGCCAGATGGTGAAGCGCGATTCATCACTCCAGAGAACGCGTTTCCACTGCTCCAGAGTCCAATGGCGGCATGGTGATCTTAGGCTTGTGTGCGGCTGCTTGGCCATGGAAACCATTTCATGAAGCTCCTGACGAACAGTTATTGTGCTGATGTTGCTTCCAGAAGCAGTTTAGAACTATGTAGTGAGTGTTGCAACAGAGGACAGACGATTTTTACGAGCTTCAGAACTCGGCGGTCCCATTCTGTGAGCTTGTGTAGCCTACCACTTCACGGCTGAGCTGTTGCTGCTCCTAGACGTTTCCACTTCACAATAACAGCACTTATAGTTGACCGGGGCAGCTCTAGCAGGGCAGAAATTTGACGAACTGACTTGTTGGAAAGGTGGTATCCTATGAAGGTGCCATGTTGAAAGTCACTTAGCTCTTCAGTAAGGCTATTCTGCTGCCAATGTTTGTCTATGGAGATTGCATGGCTGTGTGCTCGATTTTTATACACCTGTCAGCAACGGGTATGGCTGAAATAGCCGAATCCACTAATTTGAAGGGGTGTCCACATACTTATACAGTGCATTCGGAAAGTATTCAGACCCCTTGACTTTTTCCACATTTTGTTACGTTACAGCCGTATTCTAAAATTGAATAAATTATTTTTCTCCTCAATCTACACACAATACCCCATAATGACAAAGCAAAAACATTTTTTTATTTTATTTCTTCCAAATATATAAAAAATAAACTGATACCATTTGGAAAACTCCATGTGCCTTTTACTGAGGAGTGGCTTCCGTCTGGCCACACTACCATAAAGGCCTGAGTGCCGCAGAGATGGTTGTCCTTCTGGAAGGTTCTCCCATCTCCACAGACGAAATCTGGAGCTCTGAAAGAGTGACCATCGGTTTCTTGGTCACCTCCTTGACCAAGGCTCTTCTCCCCCGATTGCTGAGTTTGGCCAGGCGGCCAGCTCTAGGAAGAGTCTTGGAGGCCACTGTGTTGTTGTTGGACCTTCAATGATGCAGAAATGTTTTGGTACCCTTCCCCAGATCTGTGCTTTGACACAATCCTGTCTCGGAGCTCTATGGATATTTCATTCGATCTCATGGCTTGGTTTTGCTCTGACATACACTGTCAACTGTGGGACCTTTATATAGACATGTGTGCCTTTCCAAATCATGTCCAATCAATTGAATTTATCAAGTTGTGGAAACATATCAATGGAAACAGGATGCACCTGAGCTAATTTTCGAGTCTCATAGCAAAAGGTCTGAATACTTATGTAAATAAGGTATTTTTGTTTTTTATTTTTAATAAATTAGCAACATTTCTAAACCTGTTTTCGCTTTGCCATTATGGGGTATTGTGTGTAGATTGAGGATTTTTATTTATTTAATCAATTTTAGAATAAGGTTGTAACGTAACAAAATGTGGAAAAAGTCAGGGGGTCTGAATACTTTCCGAATGCACTGTATATAGTGTAGCTTAGCAGAGAAGTTTCTCAAGCAAGCATTTTGCTAGGACTGTCTTGGGAGTGGTTTGAGACGGGGAGGGGAAAACTGAAAGATTCGCTGTTTTCGTTAGTCATCATGTAGCCAATCTTATTTCTCCAACACAACTATCACACGCACAGCATACAGTAAAATGCTATTTTATTAGCCCATTCATTGCGCAACATTTCTAAATTTACATTTACATTTTAGTCATTTAGCAGACGCTCTTATCCAGAGCGACTTACAGTTAGTGAATACATTTTTTATTTTTTTATACTGGCCCCCCGTGGGAATTGAACCCACAACCATACTTCATTGTTTGAATCCTGAATGTTTTACTTCATGAGGCATGTCTTACCTTGCTTCAAAGTAGCCTATAGGCAAATAACAACCATGGTAACGTGGAGGCATTTCTTCTATAAAGACTTCATAGGCGGCGAGTACGTTTGAGGTTTAGGGAGGCTTACAATTCATCCTGACATTTCTACCGATCTGCGTGCCAGTTATGATTTTCTTTGGAACAGTTTCATTTCAATAGTGTTTTAGTTTCTCAAAATCATTAGTCTAAGGCGGCGGGTGGGGGGGGGGGGGTGTTCTACTAAGCTATATGGAATTGTTTTAAGAAGGTCATAACAAGGATAATTTTGCTATTTGATTTGGAAATGTAAGATCCCTTGAAGTATAAAAAAATTATAAAAATCCTAACATTATTTGTTAACATTTTTATTTGGCCTTACTGCTATTAGCCCATACAAACACATTGAATAACAAATTCACTACATGGAACAACAGATATTCCCTCAAATAAATCTAAAGGAAGTTTGTTCTGAAGTGTATATCTGAGAGGTATAAGAAAGATCAGGAAACCTTTTAATTTAATTTGTTACCCCTTATTTTTGGCACTAAAGTGCCTTCGGAAAGTATTCAGACCCCTTGACTTTTTCCACATTTTGTTACGTTACAGCCTTATTCTAAAATGGATTAAATAAATAAAAATCACACACAATACCACATAATGACAAAGCAAAAACAGGTTTAGAAATGTTTGCAAATTTATTAAAAATAAAAACACAACTTATTTACATAAGTATTCAGACCCTTTGCTATGAGACTCGAAATGGAGCTCAGGTGCATCCTGTTTCCATTGATCTCTTCCTAGAGGGCAATCGGGGGAGAAGGGCCTTGGTCAGGGAGGTGACCAGGAACCCGATGGTCACTCTGACAGAGCTCTAGAGTTTCTCTGTGGAGATAGGAGAACCTTCCAGAAGGACAACCATCTCTGCAGCACTCCACCAATCAGGCCTTTATGGTAGAGTGGCCATTAAAAGGCACATGACAGCCCGCTTGGAGTTTACCAAGACTCTGTACCGGTACCCCCTGTATATAGCCTCCCTACTGTTATTTTATTTTACTGCTGCTCTTTAATTCTTTATTTTTTACTTTCAATTTTTTATTTAACACTTACTTTTCTTAACTGCATTGTTGGTTAAGGGCTTGTAAGTAAGCATTTCACTGTAAGGTCTACACCTGTTGTATTTGGCGCATGTGGCAAATAAAATTTGATTTGAAAAGGCACATAAAGACTCTCAGACCATGAGAAACAAGATTCTCTGTTCTGATAAAACCGAGATCGAACTCTTAGGCCTGAATGCCAAGCGTCACGTCTGGAGGAAACATGGCTATTTGAAGAATCTCAAATATAAAATATATTTTGATTTGTTTAACACTTTTTTTGGTTACTACATGATTCCATATGTGTTATTTCATAGTTTTGATGTCTTCACTATTATTCTACAAGAAAAACCCTTGAATGAGTTGGTGTCCAAACTTTTGACTGGTACTGTATGTAAATGTATGTATGTAAATATTTTTATTTTTTATAAATTAGCAAACATTTGTAAACCAGTTTTTGCTTTGTCATTATGGGGTATTGTGTGCAGATTGAAACGGGAAAAAACGATTTAATTAATTTAAGAATAATGCTGTAACGTGAAAAAGTCAAGGGGTCTGAATACTTTCCGAATGCACTGTATACTTCCTTACATTTTTTCAACTGGTACCAGGTGGCTTCAGACTTCTCTTGTGAGGCCTGTGGGTGTGTAGGCCAAACCGTTGGTACGCTACAGACAGAAGTTGGCAGATAGACTGTACAGACTTCAGATCAGTCCCAAGATGCTTGTGGGGGTCGTAGAGCAAAACTGAACACCATCGTATTCGTGAGTCTCATCGTTCCATAGATGGGTCATAATAGTTTGTAGGCCGACCCATTCGGCTGCTACAGATGATTTTGTGTGATGTCCGATTTTCGGGTTGTCTCATGCTCTGACAAACACTGCTCTAGCTCTGTCACCTTTCACCGCAGATGCGGAAGTGTGACATCGGCGGCTGCGGTGGAATGAGACGCATCCAATGCAAAAAAAAAAAAAAAAAAACGGTATCTCTAGCTTAAACTGATGTATTCTTATGGGGATTTTTTAGTTATGCTAATTAGATTTCCACGTGGGCGCAGACATCGACTCTAGGGGGTTAATCATAAAAATCTCTATTAAAATCTAAAAGTTAAAATTGAACTAATGCGAGAGCACCGGCCTCTGCCATATGGACACATTGATACACCGAGATCCATTGGTGGCTAAACAAATGAGCGCATGGAACTCATAGCCTATAGGCCAATGCAGCAGTAGGCATATAACTTCCATTGTCAACTAAGTTAAAAAGACATAATGACAAATATAAACAGTAGAAAATATAAATTCAGGTTATTTCAGTCGCATTTATCTCTCTACTCTCCTGTCTGCCTCCCGTTCTATGTCTTGACTTGAGTTACTCTTTGTATCAATTCCCCATTACAAATGTTTACTACTGGTGACATATGTAATGGGGAATTGATAAAAATAAACAATCAAATGGGGAAACAATTCACACAATGAAACAATGAATGCGTAAGAATTGGTGGGAGACAGCTGAGCCATTCTGGAGAGATCTTCACCACACAACCCTCCCCTTGTCTAAATGTCTTAAATTATACTCAAGACACATTATCTTCACACATATTTTAGATACTTTTCACTGACAGCCGCAACTCAATAATCAGCTAGGCCTATTGGCACGCGCTCTGCCCAAATTGCGGGCTTCCCAAATAGATATAGGCCTAAAATCTTATGATTTGAAAGAACCCACAGCCTACAGTGCCTTCAAAAAGTATTCATACCCCACATTTTGTTGTATTACAGCCTGAATTAAAAATGGATTTAAAAAAAAAAATGCTCACCCATCTACACACAATACCCCAAATGACAAAGGGAAAACATGTTTTTAGACATTTTTGCAGATTTATTAAAAATGAAATACATTATCTCATTTACATAAGTATTCACACCCCTGAGTCAATACTTTGTGGAAGCACCTTTGGCAGTGATTACAGCTTGTAAGCCTTTAATAGCTTTATACACCTGGATTCTGCAACATCTGCCCATTTTGACTATTTTCGAAATTCTTCAAGCTCTGTCAAATTGGTTGTTGATCATTAAACTGTAACTTGGCCACATTCACTGTCTTCTTGGTAACCAACTCCAGTGTAGATTTGGCCTTGTTTTTTAGGTTAATGTCCTGCTGAAAGGTGAATTCATCTCCCAGTGTCTGGTGGAAAGCAGATTGAACCAGGTTTTCATTTAGGATTTTGCCTTATTTCTAATCCTGAAAAACTCCCCGGTCCTTAACAATTACAAGCATACCCATAACATGATACAGCCACCACTATGCTTGAAAATATGGAGTGCACTACTCAGTAATGTTGTATTGGATTTGCCCCAAACATAACACTTTGTTTTCAGGACAAAAAGTTAATTGCTTTGCCAGAATTTTTGCAGTATTACTTTAGTGCCTTGTTGCAAACAGGATGCATGTTTTATAATATTTTTTATTCTGTACAGACTTCCTCCTTTTCACTCTGTCATTTAGGTTAGTATTGTGGAGTAACTACAATGTTGATCCATCCTCAGTTTTCTCCTATCATTGCTATTAAACAGCAGTGCATTCGGGAAGGATTCAAACCCCTTGACTTTTTCCACATTTTGTTATGTTACAGCATTATTCTAAAATGGATTAAATAGTTTTTTTCCCCTCGTCAATCTACACACAATACCCCATAATGATAAACCAAAAACAGGGTTTTAGACATTTTTCCAAATATGTGTATATATTAAAAATCAAAATAAACATTTACATAAGTATTCAGACCCAGCCTTGAGTCTTCTTGGGTATGACAATACAAGCTTAACACACCTGTATTTGGGGAGTTTCTCCCATTCTTCTCTGCAGATCCTCTCAAGCTCTGTCAGGTTGCATGGGGAGCGTTGCTGCACAGCTATTTTCAGGTCTCTCCAGAGCTCAAGTCCGGGCTCTGGCTGGGCCACTCAAGGACATTCAGAGACTTGTCCCGAAGCCACTCCTGTGATGTATTGGCTGTGTGCTTAGGGTCGTTGTCCTGTTGGAAGATGAACCTTCACCCCAGTCTGAGGTCCTGAGCACTCTGGAGCAGGATTTCATCAAGGATCTCTCTGTACTTTGCTCTGTTCATCTTACCCTTGATTCTGGCTAGTCTCCCAGTCCCTGCCACTGAAAAACATCTCCACAGCATGATGCTGCCACCACCATGCTTCACCGTAGGTTTGGTGCCAGGTTTCCTCTAGATGTGACGGTTGGCATTCAGGCCAAAGAGTTCCATCTTGATTTCATCAGACCAGAGAATCTTGTTTCTCATGTTCAGAGTCCTTTTAGGTGTCTTTTGGCAAACTCCAAGTGGGCTGTCGTGCCTTTTACTGAGTGGCTTCCGTCTGGCCACTCTACCATAAAGGCCTTATTGGTGGAGTGCTGCAGAGATGGTTGTCCTTCTGGAAGGTTCTACCATCTCCACAGAGGAACTCTGGAGCTCTGTCAGAGTGATCATCGGGTTCTTGGTCAAGGCCTTTCTCCCCCGATTGCTCAGTTTGGCCGGGCGGCCAGCTGTAGAAAGTCACATTTTATGTTACAGCCTTATTCTAAAATTGATTTATTTGTTTCCCTCATCAATCTAAACACAATACCCCATAATGACAAAGCAAAAACTGTTTTTTTAGAATGTTTGCAAATTCATAAAAAATAAAAAGTTAACTTATTTACAGAAGTATTCGGACCCTTTGCTATGAGACTTGAAATTGAGCTCAGGTGCATCCTGTTTCCATTGATCATCCTGGAGATGTTTCTACAACTTGATTGGTGTCCACCTGTGGTAAATCCAATTGATTGGCCATGATTTGGAAAGGCACACAAATCAAATCAAATCAAATTGTATTGGTCACATGCGCCAAATACAACCGGTGCAGACATTACAGTGAAATGCTTACTTACAGCCCTTAACCAACAGTGCATTTATTTTTAACAAAAAAAGTAAAAATAAAACAACAACAAAAAAAGTGTTGAGAAAAAAAAGAGCAGAAGTAAAATAAAGTGACAGTAGGGAGGCTATATATACAGGGGGGTACCGTTGCAGAGTCAATGTGCGGGGGCACCGGCTAGTTGAGGTAGTTGAGGTAATATGTACATGTGGGTAGAGTTAAAGTGACTATGCATAAATAATTAACAGAGTAGCAGCAGCGTAAAAAGGATGGGGTGGGGGGGCAGTGCAAATAGTCCGGGTAGCCATGATTAGCTGTTCAGGAGTCTTATGGCTTGGGGGTAGAAGCTGTTGAGAAGTCTTTTGGACCTAGACTTGGCACTCCGGTACCGCTTGCCGTGCGGTAGCAGAGAGAACAGTCTATGACTAGGGTGGCTGGAGTCTTTGACAATTTTGAGGGCCTTCCTCTGACACCGCCTGGTATAGAGGTCCTGGATGGCAGGAAGCTTGTCCCCAGTGATGTACTGGGCCGTACGCACTACCCTCTGTAGTGCCTTGCGGTCGGAGGCCAAGCAGTTGCCATACCAGGCGGTGATGCAACCAGTCAGGATGCTCTCGATGGTGCAGCTGTAGAATTTTTTGAGGATCTGAGGACCCATGCCATATCTTTTCAGTCTCCTGAGGGGGAATAGGCTTTGTCGTGCCTTCTTCACGACTGTCTTGGTGTGTTTGGACCATAATAATAAAATAATAACCATGATAGTTCGTTGGTGATGTGGACACCAAGGAACTTGAAGCTCTCAACCTGTTCCACTACAGCCCCGTCGATGAGAATGGGGGCGTGCTCAGTCCTCTTTTTTTTCCTGTAGTCCACAATCATCTCCTTTGTCTTGGTCACGTTGAGGGAGAGGTTGTTGTCCTGGCACCACACGGCCAGGTCTCTGACCTCCTCCCTATAGGCTGTCTCATCGTTGTCGGTGATCAGGCCTACCACTGTTGTGTCGTCGGCAAACTTAATGATGGTGTTGGAGTCGTGCCTGGCCATGCAGTAATGGGTGAACAGAGAGTACAGGAGGGGACTGAGCACGCACCCCTGAGGGGCCCCCGTGTTGAGGATCAGTGTGGCAGATGTGTTGTTACCTACCCTTACCACCTGGGGGCGGCCCGTCAGGAAGTCCAGGATCCAGTTGCAGAGGGAGGTGTTTAGTCCCAGGATCCTTAGCTTAGTGATGAGCTTAGAGGGCACTATGGTGTTGAATGCTGAGCTGTAGTCAATGAATAGCATTCTCACGTAGGTGTTCCTCTTGTCCAGGTGGGAAAGTGCAGTGTGGAGTGCAATAGAGATTGCATCATCTGTGGATCTGTTGGGGCGGTATGCAAATTGGAGTGGGTCTAGGGTTTCTGGGATAATGCTGTTGATGTGAGCCATGACCAGCCTTTCAAAGCACTTCATGGCTACAGACGTCAGTGCTACGGGTCGGTAGTCATTTAGGCAGGTTATCTTAGAGTCCTTGGGCACGGGGACTATGGTGGTCTGCTTGAAACATGTTGGTATTACAGACTCAGTCAGGGACATGTTGAAAATGTCAGTGAAGACACTTGCCAGTTGGTCAGCACATGCTCGGAGTACACGTCCTGGTAATCTGTCTGGCCCTGCGGCCTTGTGAATGTTGACCTGCTTAAATGTCTTACTCACATCGGCTACGGAGAGCGTGATCACATAGTCATCCGGAACAGCTGGTGCTCTCATGCATGCTTCAGTGTTGCTTGCCTCGAAGCGAGCATAGAAGTGGTTTAGCTCATCTGGTAGGCTTGTGTCACTGGGCAGCTCGCGGCTGTGCTTCCCTTTGTAGTCTGTAATAGTTTTCAAGCCCTGCCACATCCGACGAGCGTCAGAGCCAGTGTAGTACGATTCAATCTTAGTCCTGTATTGACTCATTGCCCGTTTGATGGTTCGTCGGAGGTCATAGCGGGATTTCTTATAAGCGTCCGGGTTAGAGTCCCGTTCCTTGAAAGCGGCAGCTCTACCCTTTAGCTCAGTGCGGATGTTTCCTGTAATCCATGGCTTCTGGTTGGGGTATGTACGTACGGTCACTGTGGGGTCGACATCATCGATGCACTTATTGATGAAGCCAGTGACTGATGTGGTGTAGTCCTCAATGCTGTCTGAAGAATCCCGGAACATGTTCCAGTCTGTGCTAGCAAAACAGTCCTGTAGCTTAGCATCTGCGTCATCTGACCACTTTTTTATTAACCGAGTCACTGGTGCTTCCTGCTTTAGTTTTTGCTTATAAGCAGGAATCAGGAGGATAGAGTTATGGTCAGATTTGCCAAATGGAGGGCGAGGGAGAGCTTTGTATGCGTCTCTGTGTGTGGAGTAAAGGTGGTCTAGAGTTTTTTTTCCTCTGGTTGCACATTTAACATGCTGGTAGAAATTAGGTAGAACGGATTTAAGTTTCCCTGCATTAAAGTCCCCGGCCACTAGGAGCGCTGCATCTGGATGAGCGTTTTCCTGTTGATTTATGGCCTTGTACAACTCATTCAGTGCAATCTTAATGCCAGCATTGGTTTGTGGTGGTAAATAGACAGCTATGAAAAATATAGATGAAAACTCTCTTGGTAAATAGTGTGGTCTACAGCTTATCATAAGATACTCTACCTCAGGCGAGCAAAACCTCGAGACTTCCTTAGTATTTGATTTTGTGCACCAGCTGTTGTTTACAAATATACACAGACCGCCACCCCTTGTCTTACCGGAGTCAGCCGTTCTATCCTGCCGATGTAGCGTATAGCCCGCTAGCTGTATGATATCCATGTCGTCGTTCAGCCACGACTCGGTGAAACATAAGATATTACAGTTTTTAATGTCCCGTTGGTAGGATAACCGTAATCTTAAATCATCCAATTCACACCTGTCTATATGAAGTCCCACAGTTGACAGTGCATGTCAGAGCAAAAACCAAGCCATGAGGTTGAAGGAATTGTCCGTAGAGCTCCGAGACAGGATTGTGTCGCGGTACAGATCTGGGGAAGGGTACCCAAAATGTCTGCTACATTGAAGGTCCCCAAGAACACAGTGGCCTCCATCATTCTTAAATGGAAGAAGTTTGGAACCACAAAGACTTCCTAGAGCTGGCTGCCCGGCCAAACTGAGCAATCGGGGGAGAAGGGCCTTGGTCAGGGAAGTTACCAAGAACCCAATGGTCAGTGGAGATGGGAGAACCTTCCAGAAGAACAAGATTCTTTGGTCTGATGAAGCCACGATTGAACTCTTTGGCCAGAATGCTAAGCGTCACATCTGGAGGGAACCAGGCACCGCTCATCACCTGGCCATTACCATCCCTATGATGAAGCATGGTGGTGGAAGCATCATGCTGTGGGGATGTTTTTCTGCAGCAGGGACTTGGACAATAGTCAGGATCGAGGGAAAGATGAATGGTGCAATGTACAGATAGATCCTTGACTGAACCTCGGACTGGGGCAAAGGTTCACCTTCAAACAGGACAACGACCCTAAGCACAGAGCCAAGACAACGCAGGAGTGGCTTCGGGACAAGTCACAATGTCAGTGAGGGGCCCAGCCAGAGCCCGGACTTGAACCCGATCGAACATCTCTGGAGAGACCTGAAAATAGCTGTGCAGCGACACATCCCATACAACCTGAGATGATCTGCAGAGAAGAATGGGAGAAATTCCCCAAATACAGGTGTGCAAAGCTTGTAGCGTCATACCCAAGAAGACTCCAGGCTGTAATTACTGCCAAAGGTGCCTCAGCAAAGCACTGAGTAAAGGGTCTGAATACTTATGTAAATGCAATGTTTTATTTTTTATTTTTAATACATTTGCAAACATTTCTAAAAACCTGTTTTTGCTTTGTCATTATGGGGTATTGTGTGAATACTTTCCGAATGCACTGTAGATGCGGAGGAAAGTTTGCGGGGGTAAGATTTATCAGGCCATCAATGGAAGAGCACTCTCAAATTATTATGATTTATTATTGATCAAGTTAGAAAAATGAGCCTGTCTGGCATTTCTAATTGCCTTGTTATATATCAAATCAAAATGTCAAAGTTGCTCTCAGAATATCATAATGGACATGCAACTTTGAATTTCTCCACTTCCGCTCTGCCTTTCTGCAATTTCTCTTTAATTGATTTGTTTCCTCACTCATCCAAGGAGCTCTTCGTTTGGATTTGGCCTTTTTCAACATTACTGGAGCTGTAGCATCAATGGTTGCTGTTAAAGTTATCAACTAAATCATCACAAGAGGAAGGCAGAATAGGTGATGGTGTATTGTTCATACACGCAATACAATCTGTAGCAACTTCAGAGTTGTCACAAAAGGAGACATTCCTGTCGTTGCAAAGGTTCTTCAGGTACTCGTTTAGGGCAACTAGTCGGCTGAAACGTTCCAAACCCCTTTGATAGCACTAGTGGGGGCCAGAGATAATTATTATATTCCCTGTGCTAGTGAGGGTGTTAAACATTTTTTTTATATTCCTCCCTCAGTTCCTCAGATCGCCTAAAGCGAAGGTTGTTAACCTACATGAGTGACGATGGTGTCAATATTGGAGTAGTTGGCCAGAACGTGGGCAAATTGTTTGAAAATGACATTTAATGTGTTACGCACCCAATGCAAATGATCCCAGTACATTTTAAAAATGGTCAGTAAATTCAAATCTGTTCTGCCAGACTATTCCCAGAAATCATGTGATTTCAGAGCTTTGTACTGTCATAGTGTAGTTCAGTGGCCTGGTTCACTTTCACTCTGACTTTCATTACATTTTACATTTGAGTCATTTAGCAGACGCTCTTACCCAGAGCGACTTACATGAGCAATTAGGGTTAAGTGCCTTGCTCAAGGGCACATCGACAGATTTTTCACCTAGTCGGCTCGGGGATTAGAACCAGCGACCTTTCGGTTACTGGCACAACGCTCTTAACCACTAAGCTACCTGCCGCATCCTCGACTTGGCTCATACAGCTGGTTAGCCTGCACAAGTCAGTTACCTTCTACGCACTGGTTTACAGAAGTAGATTTCAATATTGTTATGCAATGCACTGGGTTAGTGAAGAATACAAATAAAGCTATGTGATTGATAGTAATTGCTTCATGTACCAGATAGGAGAGATTCTGCCGAAGTCTCAGAGCACAGTTTGAGAGGGGAATTTCTCATGTCTCTTCTCTTACAAGTGACATCAATAAGGGATCATAGCTTTCACCTGGTCAGTCCATGTCTAATGTTTTGTACACTGCATATTAAATATCAATTGAGAGAGTTGAATACACCTCTGATCTCCGCATACACTGAGTGTACAAAACATTAGACGTGGACTGACCAGGTGAAGGCTATAATCCCTTATTGATGTCACTTGTTAAATCCACTTCAATTTGTGTAGATGAAGGGGTGGAGACTTGTTAAAGAAGGACTTTTTAAGCCTTGAGACATGGATTGTGTGTGTATGCCATTGAGGGTGAATGGGCAAGATTAGATTTGAACGGGGTAGGGTAGTAACTGCCAGGCGCACCGGTTTGAGTGTCAACAACTGCAACGCTGCTGGGTTTTTCACACTCAACAGTTTCCCGTGTGTATCAAGATTGGTCCACCACCCAAAGAACATTCAGCCAACTTGACACAACTGTGGGAAGCATTGGAGTCAACATGGGCCAGCATCCCTGTGGAACACTTTCGACACCTTATAGAGTCCATGCCCTGACGAATTGAGGTTGTTTTGAGGGCAAAAGGGGGTGCAACTCAATATTAGGAAGTTGTTCTTAATGTTTTGTACACTATGTACATACATAGACACACTTTATGAATAAATAAAAACATGTAGTTGATGATATTATGCTTAATGTATCAGATTAATATTGAACAACAGTATCATCAAGTGAATAATTTTGAATAACACTAACTGTCCAGATATCCCCTTGGTGTGAAACTCTTGCTCATTTAAACACCTCTCCTCCTCCAGATGAGTTTGACGCCTACATCATTGTGTCCTTCGTCAACGCCACCCTGGTTCTGTCTATTGGAGAGACCGTAGAGGAAGTGACAGACTCCGGTTTCCTGGGGACCACCCCCACCCTCTCCTGCTCTCTGCTGGGGGAGGATGCTCTGGTGCAGGTCAGTATAACACCCACACTACACGCCTCTCCAGGGGCCTGAACATGCACCTTATGTTTTGGAGGGAATAAAATGCTGATGGTAAAAGTGATATAAAGCTGAAGGGAGATTAAGTGTATGGGAGATGTAATATTGCTGTTGAAATGATGAGTCTTCATGTCTCTTCTCTGACATAATAATGGAGAGAGCTTAAACACATCTGATATCAGCATTATACACAGACATAGACACCCTGGCCAGGCCCCTTCCCCAGCCCTGTGTAAACTGTGAATTGTCTTGTGCAGGTGTATCCTGATGGGATCCGTCACATCCGTGCTGATAAGCGTGTGAATGAGTGGAAGACTCCAGGGAAGAAGACCATTGTGCGCTGTGCAGTCAACCAGAGGCAGGTGGTCATTGCTCTGACCGGAGGAGAGCTGGTCTACTTTGAGATGGACCCGGTGAGTAGTGAACCTTCATGCCCTGGGTGTTTTTTATTTCATCAGCCAAGTACTGTCTTCTCTTAGTTTGACCCTATTTTGATCTGCTTTTTCAGGATATCCTGAGTCCTGCTCAGTGAAAAGTTAATATTTCTTTGGACCGTAGATATTTATGATAACCTTCTCCCTTTCTCTCGCCTCTCACACTCTCTCCCCCTCACAAGTCTGGCCAGCTGAATGAGTACACAGAGAGGAAGGAGATGTCAGCTGATGTGGTGTGTATGAGCTTGGCCAACGTCCCGCCTGGCGAGCAGCGCTCCCGTTTCCTGGCTGTGGGGTTGGTCGACAACACCGTCCGCATCATCTCTCTGGATCCCTCGGTATGACTCTTATCAGGCTACAGTATTTCATTCCCTCTCTCTTTGAAAGCCTTGCAGACAGTCTGCCCATCTGTTTGGAATGGATTTCATTAATAGCGACTGCTCTCTGGGTCGTTAACCAGCACTAGATGTTCTTGAACCACGACAAGCGAACTCATCCAAAGCTCAGTTGCTCTGCTGCGTTTTCCAATCACAATTTAAGTCGAGTGGGGGGAATATTTTTCCAAAAGCCACATTGTTGATTTTGCCCTCTTTAGTACGTGTTTGTACCACCTCTCTAAACTGTATGTAGCCCTAACCCTGCTGTGTTTGTCTGGTGCAGGACTGTCTCCAGCCCCTCAGTATGCAGGCTCTGCCAGCCCAGCCTGAGTCTCTGTGTATAGTGGAGATGGGAGGAGTGGAGAAGGAAGATGAGCTAGGAGTGAAGGGCACTGTCGGTTTCCTCTACCTCAACATCGGACTACAGGTAAGCTATCTGTCCTGTGATGTCTTGAGGCAGGGTTTGAAGAGAGGGATGTTATGCTGTAGCTGTTGAAGTGATGAGTTTCTCTTGTCTCTTCACTGACTAAATAATAATGGAGAGAGTTTCAAACGCCTCTGTCAGCATATATACATACATACACTATCTGTGTGACTGCCTCCTTACTTCTGGCACTGTATTACTTGATATTCTGTGCTCTGTTAGAACACATTCTAGAGCTTCTAGAGGTAACATCAACATGTCTTTTCTCAGAACGGTGTGTTGCTCAGGACTGTGCTGGACCCAGTGACTGGAGACTTGTCTGATACTCGTACTCGGTACCTGGGGTCGCGACCTGTGAAGCTCTTCCGGGTCAGGATGCAGGGACAGGAAGCTGTAAGTGGAATGAGATTTTCAGGGATTGGGAGCTGAAACGTAACATTGTATTAATATCCTCTCTGATAGGGGTATAACAGTTCACCAAACCCACGGTTTGGTACGTATTGCGGTTTTAGGGTCACGTTTCGGTACAGTGGGAAAATGTAAATGCCATTCACAATGTTCAGCATTCACCATGTTCCTTGCATTTCTGTTGTAACCAGATTGTTATGTTGGGCCTCATGTATTACAGTGAAATGCTTACTTACAGCCCTTAACCAACAGTGCATTTATTTTAAACAAAAAAAGTAAAAATAAAACAACAACAACAAAAAAAAGTGTTGAGAAAAAAAAGAGCAGAAGTAAAATAAAGTGACAGTAGGGAGGCTATATATACAGGGGGGTACCGTTGCAGAGTCAATGTGCGGGGGCACCGGCTAGTTGAGGTAGTTGAGGTAATATGTACATGTGGGTAGAGTTAAAGTGACTATGCATAAATACTTAACAGAGTAGCAGCAGCGTAAAAAGGATGGGGTGGGGGGGCAGTGCAAATAGTCCGGGTAGCCATGATTAGCTGTTCAGGAGTCTTATGGCTTGGGGGTAGAAGCTGTTGAGAAGTCTTTTGGACCTAGACTTGGCACTCCGGTACCGCTTGCCGTGCGGTAGCAGAGAGAACAGTCTATGACTAGGGTGGCTGGAGTCTTTGACAATTTTGAGGGCCTTCCTCAATTTTGAGGGCCTTCCCCATGTTTCCACTCTGATGCTGCGTTTGTAACCATGTGGGAATTTACTAGTTGTGAAGTCGTAAATACCAGTTGGATGCATATATGTGATTTTGAACTTGCTGAGAAACACCGATTGGCTAATTGGCAACAAGCTGTCAACCATAAACTAAAAGTACAGCTATCAAGCTTGTAAACAAATTATAGAGTTAAAAAAACAAAATTTTTATAAATAGTTTTGTTGCATTTAACTGGCCGAAAAATGCTTTTATCAAGGCCATTTCCTTAGTAGGTGACGTCAAAGGTCACCATGTGGGAGAAGTGGGTGCTCAGGATGATGGATGAGTTTCCCACTAGTAATTACCAGTTTGATGACCATTCAAGTGGATTCTTTCCAGTTGAGCGTGGTGAGATACTGTTAACGTTTTATCCACAACTCTCTGTCCATCGTCGTTGTAATCTGCTGGGAGCCAAACTGTTCCCAAACTGGAGATTTAAACGATGATGGTGGATCCTCCAATTCTGGTTTATCGACCCCACCACTGCGCCTCACAAAAGGACAGTTTGAAATGCGCCGATTTGAATTTTGATTACAACGTGCGCATAGGCTCTAGTTTTTTTTTTAACGGAATCAACAGAAATGTTTTTTTTCCCATTCTCATATTTACTCGAGGCATAGGCTTACAAACAGTTTTTTTTTAATGTATTCATTTGGGTTCACAGTGCGGACCGAACCGAGGTCCCCATACACGAATACATGTACAGTTACACCCTTACACTCTGACCATTGAACCCCTCTATCTCCTCTAGGTGTTGGCCATGTCTAGCCGCTCCTGGCTGAGTTACTCTTACCAGTCCCGCTTCCACCTGACACCCCTGTCCTATGAGACACTGGAGTACGCCTCAGGTTTCGCCTCTGAACAGTGTCCTGAGGGCATTGTGGCCATCTCCACCAACACCCTGAGGTAGACACAGACACACACACACACACACACCCCCTTACACTCATACTCATCAAAAACCTAAATTCCATATGCATTCATTGGCAAGATTTGAAGACCGGGGAGTTATGCTGTTGAAATGAGTCTTCATGTCCCTTCTCTGACAAACCATTGGAGAGCGCTTAAACATCTCTGATCTCAGCATTTACAGAGATCCCATCTCGTTTTCTGTCATTCCCCCTCAAGCATAGTAATTCTCAATTATAACACTGATATTTAACTTATGAGGGATACAGTGAGAGAAAAAAGTATTTGATCCCCTGCTGATTTTGTACGTTTGCCAACTGACAAAGACATGATCAGTCTATAATGTTAATGGTAGGTTTATTTGACCAGTGAGAGACAGAATTACAACAAAAAAATCCAGAAAAACACATTATAAATTGATTTGCATTTTAATGAGGGAAATAAGTATTTGACCCCTCTGCAAAACATGACTGAGTACTTGGTGGCAAAACCCTTGTTGGCAATCAGAGGTCAGACGTTTCTTGTAGTTGGCCACCAGGTTTGCACACATCTCAGGAGGGATTTTGTCCCACTCCTCTTTGCAGATCTTCTCCAAGTCATTAAGGTTTCGAGGCTGACGTTTGGCAACTCGAACCTTCAGCTCCCTCCACAGATTTTCTATGGGATTAAGGTCTGGAGACTGGCTAGGCCACTCCAGGACCTTACTGTGCTTCTTCTTGAGCCACTCCTTTGTTGCCTTGGCCGTGTGTTTTGGGTCATTGTCATGCTGGAATACCCATCCACGACCCATTTTCAATGCCCTGGCTGAGGGAAGGAGGTTCTCACCCAAGATTTGACGGTACATGATGCGGTGAAGTTGTCCTGTCCCCTTAGCAGAAAAACACCCCCAAAGCATAATGTTTCCACCTCCATGTTTGACGGTGGGGATGGTGTTCTTGGGGTCATAGGCAGCATTCCTCCTCCTCCAAACACGTTGAGTTGATGCCAAAGAGCTCGGTTTTGGTCTCATCTGACCACAACACTTTCACCCAGTTCTCCTCTGAATCATTCAGATGTTAATTGGCAAACTTCAAACGGGCCTGTATATGTGCTTTCTTGAGCAGGGGGACCTTGCGGGCGCTGCAGGATTTCAGTCCTTTCACAGCGTAGTGTGTTACCAATTGTTTTCTTGGTGACTATGGTCCCAGCTGCCTTGAGATCATTGACAAGATCCTCCCGTGTAGTTCTGGGCTGATTCCTCACCGTTCTCATGATCATTGCAACTCCACAAGGTGAGATCTTGCATGGAGCTCCAGGCCGAGGGAGATTGACAGTTATTTTGTGTTTCTTCCATTTGCGAATAATCGCACCAACTGTTGTCACCTTCTCACCAAGCTGCTTGGCGATGGTCTTGTAGCCCATTCCAGCCTTGTGTAGGTCTACAATCTTGTCCCTGACATCCTTGGATAGCTCTTTGGTCTTGGCCATGGTGGAGAGTTTGGAATCTGATTGATTGCTTCTGCGGACAGGTGTCTTTTATACAGGTAGCAAGCTGAGATTAGGAGCACTCCCTTTAAGAGTGTGCTCCTAATCTCAGCTCGTTACCTGTATAAAAGACACCTAGGAGCCAGAAATCTTTCTGATTGAGAGGGGGTCAAATACTTATTTCCCTCATTAAAATGCAAATCAATTTATAACATTTTGGACATGTGTTTTTCTGGATTTTTTTGTTGTTATTCTGTCTCTCACTGTTCAAATAAATCTACCATTAAAATTATAGACTGATCATTTCTTTGTCAGTGGGCAAATGTACCAAATCAGCAGGGGATCAAATACTTTTTTCCTTCACTGTATGTCCCATTTACTTTTTCTCAAGTTATTCCCCATTACTTTTTCTCAAGTTATTCCTGTTCCCACTATGCCATTATGGCTGTTATGCCATTAACACCTGTTATGTGGTACACATGTTGTGACACTGCCTTTGTCTCCCTCTTAGGATTCTGGCCTTGGAGAAGCTGGGTGCCGTTTTCAACCAGGTGGCCTTCCCCCTGCAGTACACACCTCGCAAGTTTGTCATCCACCCAGAGACCAACAACCTGATCCTCATAGAGACTGATCACAATGCCTACACAGAGGCCACCAAGGCCCAGCGCAAGCAGCAAATGGCAGAGGTAGGGTTCTGACCAACGTGTCGATGGACTGAGAGGGTGGGAACAGGGTGACTGACTGAGGCTACATGTTGTACACCCAGGCTTTGTAGCTTGTGTAGGCTGATATTATGAAAGTGGAGTTATAATATACATAGGGCTGGCACAATTACTATATAACTGTGTACCCGACGGTTATGGATGAAGACTGTAAAATAACCGTTTTTGTGCGGTTGTCCGTTTCTGCTGTAACATGGACTACAGTAACGTGGACTCTACAACGGGATTAAACTTTGTTGCTCCTTGCTGAAACAAGCAAGGTCTTGTAGCAAACAAGTCTTCGGTTGCCTAGACAACTCCACCCTCCCTGCAGCATATACAGTCAGGAGAGGAGAAAATGTGCATCTTTTAAAAAAATATATATAGATCTATATTTTTTATTTATTCGGTTATTACGGCGACTGTGGTCATTTGGCTGACCAGTAACAGTCATTCAAAATTCCATGGCTGCCACAGCCGTAAAATACGCAGAACTTCAATAGAAATAATCTATTTTTATAGCGCTTTTCTAAAACCCAAAGCTTCATTCAGGGCAGGGTTTGAGGAGAGGGATGTTCTGCTGTTGAAGTGATGAGTCTTCATGTCTCTTCTCTGACATAATAATGATGGAGAGTTTAATGACACCTCTGATCACAGCATATATACTGAGATTACACACAATGTAGATATTGACATGGGGAATTAGACTTTCAAATACTTTGCTTACACTTATGTGGCTCTCTCACCCCCTCCTCCCTACATTTTCTCTGTTTGTAACTGACACAACTTCTGTGTTGTGATCCCCTCTCCAGGAGATGGTTGAGGCAGCAGGTGAGGATGAGAGGGAGCTGGCAGCAGAGATGGCCGCTGCCTTCCTCAATGAGAACCTGCCAGAGGCCATCTTTGGGGCACCCAAGGCTGGGTCAGGCCAGTGGGCCTCTCTGGTGCGTCTGGTCAACCCCATCCTGGGCACCACTCTGGACCTGGTCCAACTGGAGCAGAACGAGGCTGCCTTCAGGTGAGGACCGAGGAGAGGATAGATGGAAAAGGGCCACTAGGGCAATGTTATTAATGGCTTAAGCTATTCTCAACGTAATTGCAGTGTATTCGTACGAGAGATGGTGAAACGAGGCATTTGAACTGTCATTCAGGGCAGGGTTTGAGGAGAGGGATGTCATGCTGTTGAAGTAATGAGTCCTCATGTCTCTTCTCAGACGTAATAATAATGGAGATAGTTTAAAACATCTCTGATCACTGCATTATACACAGAGGCCACAGAAATTGACATAGGGAATCAGACTGATGGGAAATACTTTGGTTACACATGCTGATCTATCATACCCCCCTCCTTCCTTTTCCTCTCTCTCTGTTCTGTCCCTGCAGTGTGGCTGTGTGTCGGTTCGCCAGTGGAGGTGATGACTGGTATGTGCTGGTGGGGGTGGCCCGGGACATGATCCTTAACCCCCGCTCTGTGGGAGGCGGTTTCATCTACACCTATCGGCTGGGAGGGGGAGGGGACAAACTGGAGTTTATGCACAAGGTGAGTGACAGAGGATATGACTAATCAAGTGGTTTCTGGCTCTGGCTGGTTGACCACAGCTGTGTGCACAGGAATTCCCCAACTGTTATTTCTGAACGGTCATAACTGGGCTGAGAGTCAGAGTACTATCATACTTGCCGCCACCCCCTCCCCTTTACCCAACTCCCAGAGGGACAATGGTTACTTTTTTCCAGTCTCAGCAAGTCTTCAGTATTCTACACTTTATTAATAGTCAGAAACTGAAATTTGAAGCTTTCACATGACCCTTTTTTTTTTTTTTTTTTTTAAGATGACGTTTAATTCACATATGTTAATGACTAATAAAAGCCGTGAATAGGGATGTACGTCTTTCCCTTTCAAGACTATTCGATATGTATCTAGATACATGGGCTCCGATACAATATAGGAACGATACGTTTTAGTTTGAAATGATTCGGTGTGATTCGGTTCAATGCGATACGAGAGAAGATTTGTTGCATAAACACATTTATTTTCAATTCTAAATTAAAATCTGCTGCTGATGGAGTGTGTGTGTGTGTAAATGATGTCTATGGTGTATGTTCTATGTAGGCACCGTAGCTGAGCCATGAAGGAGACTAGGCATCTACCGCCACATTATCAGATTAGGGGGGCAATGTAGCCTGTTTTAGTTTTTTTTGCCCCCCACTTCGGTTCTGAAATCACCATCATCCACTAAATAACTTGTCATTTTTGCAGATTGTGTTAGTAATGTATCGATATTTATTGTTTACAAATTAGCTATGGCATAAGCCCTATTCGCACAGGACTAGTACTACTAGAGAACGTTGGTTATGTAATTATTACCCCAGAATGTCTGTTATTCCAGAGGACTATTCGGACAGGATTAGTTTTTTTTCTTCCTCAAACTGCCACCTGTAATTATTTAGTTTTTCAATAAATTGACCGATATGACGGAAGCCTGGAGGTTTTTATTCTAGGGGTGAAGATATTTCAACATGTGCAGGTGATAACAGGCTACACTGATAACTCAAGCTTGGTTCCCAAGTTTCTAAACCATACCGAACCATCTTTGGTATAGTGTCGTTATAATATTTGAATTGAGGACGTGCGATCATAATCATTATTTTAGCGATCCGCAGTAGAAGACGCCTGCAGATGTGAGCTAAACGGTGCACTTGAGATGAGTTTTTAGGTTATAGATGAGAAAGTGGACTTGCCATTTCCAAAAGTTTAGCTCAGTTGGAATGCTGCTTTGCGGTCTATTAACAGCAAGGGTTGGATTAAATAGGCGCAATATTTTTTTGCTGACTCATTTGATGATGATGAATTCATTGGCACCAAACATATAAACATTTATATACAGTTGAAGTCGGAAGTTTACATACACTTAGGTTGGAGTCATAAACTCGTTTTTCAACCACTCCACAAATGTCTTGTTAACAAACTATAGTTTTGGCAAGTCGGTTAGGACATCTACTTTGTGCATGACACAAGTCATTTTTCCAACAATTGTTTACAGACAGATTATTTCACTTATAATTCACTGTATCACAATTCCAGTGGGTCAGAAGTTTACATACACTAAGTTGACTGTGCCTTTAAACAGCTTGGAAAATTCCAGAAAATGATGTCATGGCTTTAGAAGCTTCTGATAGGCTAATTGAGATCATTTGAGTCAATTGGAGGTGTACATTTAATTTTTTTTACATTTACATCATTTAGCAGACGTTCTTATCCAGAGCGACTTACAAGTTGGTGCATTCAACTTATGATAGCAAGTGGGACAACCACTTTTTTTTCTTATTTTTTTTATGGGGGGGTGGTGGAGGGGCGACGCATTTCAAGGTCTACCTTCAAACTCAGTGCCTCTGCTTGACATCATGGGAAAATCAAAAGAAATCAGGCAAGACCTCAGAAAATAATTGTAGACCTCCACAAGTCTGGTTCATCTTGGGAGCAATTTCCAAACGCCTGAAGGTACCACATTCATCTGTACAAACAATAGTATGCAAGTATAAACACCATGGGACCACGCAGCCATCATACCGCTCAGGAAGGAGACACGTTCTGTCTCCTAGAGATGAACGTACTTTGGTGCGAAAAGCGCAAATCAATACCAGAACAACAGCAAAGGACCTTGTGAAGATATTGGAGGAAACAGGTACAAAAGTATCTATATCCACAGTAAAACGAGTCCTATATCGACATAACCTGAAAGGCCGCTCAGTAAGGAAGAAGCCACTGCTCCAAAACCGCCATAAAAAAAGCCAGACTACGGTTTGCAACTGCACATGGGGGCAAAGATCGTACTTTTTGGAGAAATGTCCTCTGGTCTGATGAAACAAAAATAGAACTGTTTGGCCATAATGACCATCGTTATGTTTGGAGGAAAAAGGTGGATGCTTGCAAGCCGAAAAACACCATCCCAACCGTGAAGCATGGGGGTGGCAGCATCATGCTGTGGGGGTGCTTTGCTGCAGGAGGGACTGGCGCATTTCACAAAATAAATGGCATCATGAGGAAGTAAAATTATATGGATATATTGAAGCAACATCTCAAGACATCAGTCAGGAAGTTAAAGCTTGGTCGCAAATGGGTCTTCCAAATGGACAATGACCCCAAGCATACTTCCAAAGTTGTGGCAAAATGGCTTGAGGACAACAAAGTCAAGGTATTGGAGTGGCCATCACAAAGCCCTGACCTCAATCCTATAGAAAATGTGTGGGCAGAACTGAAAAGGTGTGTGCAAGCAAGGAGGCCTACAAACCTGACTCAGTTACACCAGCTCTGTCAGGAGGAATGGGCCAAAATTCACCCAACTTAATGTGGGAAGCTTGTGTAAGGTTACCCAAAACGTTTGACCCAAGTTAAATAATTTAAAGGCAATGCTACCAAATACTAATTGAGTGTATGTAAACTTCTGACTCACTGGGAATGTGATGAAAGAAATAAAAGCTGAAATAAATCATTCTCTCTTATTCTGACATTTCACATTCTTAAAATAAAGTGGTGATCCTAACTGACCTAAAACAGGGAATTTTTACTTGGATTAAATGTCAAGAATTGTGAAAAACTGAGCTTAAATGTATTTGGCTAAGGTGTATGTAAACTTCCGACTTCAACTGTATATAGGCTAAGCGCACCACTTCATTTTAAGCAGCAATTTATTGAATCAGTTGGGTTTTTTCTTGTTAAAACTGCAAGCAACACCCGTCAAACTCAGAAATGTTGCTCAAAACAGAGGAATGTCGATTCTCATGGGACTAGTATTATCAGAGGACCTTGGAGTTAGTTGAAAAACAGGCGTTTTTCCGACTGGAATTATTACGTTCGTACTATTTAAAAATTATCGACTTGGCAGATTCTGACGGGACTTAAATTGCGGATGTGGTGATTTGTGCTTGTGCTCATAATTACATAACCCTATCTCCCCCAGTAAAACGAATCCTGTGTGAATAGGGCTATATACACTGCTCAAAAAAATAAAGGGAACACTAAAATAACACATCCTAGATCTGAATGAATGAAATAATCTTATTAAATACTTTTTTTCTTTACATAGTTGAATGTGCTGACAACAAAATCACACAAAAATGATCAATGGAAATCAAATTTATCAACCCATGGAGGTCTGGATTTGGAGTCACCCTCAAAATTAAAGTGGAAAACCACAATACAGGCTGATCCAACTTTGATGTAATGTCCTTAAAACAAGTCAAAATGAGGCTCAGTAGTGTGTGTGGCCTCCACGTGCCTGTATGACCTCCCTACAACGCCTGGGCATGCTCCTGATGAGGTGGCAGATGGTCTCCTGAGGGATCTCCTCCCAGACCTGGACTAAAGCATCCGCCAACTCCTGGACAGTCTGTGGTGCAACGTGGCGTTGGTGGATGGAGCGAGACATGATGTCCCAGATGTGCTCAATTGGATTCAGGTCTGGGGAACGGGCGGGCCAGTCCATAGCATCAATGCCTTCCTCTTGCAGGAACTGCTGACACACTCCAGCCACATGAGGTCTAGCATTGTCTTGCATTAGGAGGAACCCAGGGCCAACCGCACCAGCATATGGTCTCACAAGGGGTCTGAGGATCTCATCTCGGTACCTAATAGCAGTCAGGCTATCTCTGGCGAGCACATGGAGGGCTGTGCGGCCCCCCAAAGAAATGCCACTCCACACCATGACTGACCCACCGCCAAACCAGTCATGCTGGAGGATGTTGCAGGCAGCAGAACGTTCTCCACGGCGTCTCCAGACTCTGTCACGTCTGTCACGTGCTCAGTGTGAACCTGCTTTCATCTGTGAAGAGCACAGGGCGATCTTGCCAATCTTGGTGTTCTATGGCAAATGCCAAACGTCCTGCACGGTGTTGGGCTGTAAGCACAACCCCCACCTGTGGACGTCGGGCCCTCATACCACCCTCATGGAGTCTGTTTCTGACCGTTTGAGCAGACACATGCACATTTGTGGCCTGCTGGAGATCATTTTGCAGGGCTCTGGCAGTGCTCCTCCTGCTCCTCCTTGCACAAAGGCGGAGGTAGCAGTCCTGCTGCTGGGTTGTTGCCCTCCTACGGCCTCCTCCATGTCTCCTGATGTACTGGCCTGTCTCCTGGTAGCGCCTCCATGCTCTGGACACTACGCTGACAGACACAGCAAACCTTCTTGCCACAGCTTTCATTGATGTGCCATCCTGGATGAGCTGCACTACCTGAGCCACTTGTGTGGGTTGTAGACTCCGTCTCATGCTACAACTAGAGTGAAAGCACTGGCAGCATTCAAAAGTGACCAAAACATCAGCCAGGAAGCATAGGAACTGAGAAGTGGTCTGTGGTCACCACCTGCAAAACCAGTCCTTTATTGGGGGTGTCTTGCTAATTGCCTATAATTTCCACCTGTTGTCTATTCCATTTGCACAACAGCATGTGAAATGTATTGTCAATCAGTGTTGCTTCCTAAGTGGACAGTTTGATTTCACAGAAGTGTGATTGACTTGGAGTTACATTGTGTTGTTTAAGTGTTCCCTTAATTTTTTTGAGCAGTGTATATATCTGTCTCTATCTCGTATGTATGTATGTATGTGTGTAGAGAGATAAATATATATAGAGATAGATGTGTATATACACACACACACACGCAGTACCTGTCAGGTTTGGACACAACCTACTCATTCAAGGGTTTTTCTTCATTTTTACTATTTTCTACATTGTAGAATAATAGTAAAGACATCAAAACTATGAAAGAACGCATATGAGAATGATTTCCAAGAGTGTGCAAAGCTTTCATCAAGGCAAATGGTGGCTACTTTGAAGAATCTAAAATCTAAAATATATTTTGATTTGTTTAACACTTTTTTTGGTTAATACATGATTCCACATATGTTAATTCATAGTTTTGATGTCTTCACTATTATTCTCTCATATACTAAGCAAAAAAAGAAACGTCAACTGCGTTTATTTTCAGCAAACTTAACATGTGTAAATATTTGTATGAACATAACAAGATTCAACAACTGAAACATAAACTGAACAAGTTCCACAGACATGTGGACAAACTAAATAATAATGTGTCCCTGAACAAAGGGGGGGTCAAAATCAAAAGTTACAGTCAGTATCTGGTGTGGCCACCAGCTGCATTAAGTACTGCAGTGCATCTCCTCCTCATGGACTGCACCAGATTTGCCAGTTCTTGCTGTGAGATGTTACCTCACTCTTCCACCAAGGCACCTGCAAGTTCCCGGACATTTCTGGGGGGGAATAGCCCTAGCCCTCACCCTCCGATTCAACAGGTCCCAGATGTGCTCAATGGGATTGAGATCCGTGCTCTTGGCAGAACACTGACATTCCTTTCTTGCAGGAAATCACGCACAGAACGAGCAGTATGGCTGGTGGCATTGTCATGCTGGAGGGTCATGTCAGGATGAGCCTGCAGGAAGGTTACCACATGAGGGAGGAGGATGTCTTCCCTGTAACGCACAGCGTTGAGATTGCCTGCAATGACAACAAGCTCAGTCCGATGATGCTGTGACACTCCGCCCCAGACCAAATCGATCCCGCTCCAGAGTACATTTTACATTTACATTTACGTCATTTAGCAGACGCTCTTATCCAGAGCGACTTACATTATTTTATTTTTTACCCCCGTGGGAATCGAACCCACAATCCTGGCGTTGCAAACGCCATGCTCTACCAACTGAGCTACATCCCTGCCGGCCATTCCCTCCCCTACCCTAGACGACGCTGGGCCAATTGTGCGCCGCCCCATTGGTGTCACGGCCGGCTACGACAGAGCCTGGATTCGAACCAGGATCTCTAGTGGCACAGCTAGCACTGCGATGCAGTGCCTTAGACCACTGCGCCACTCGGGAGAGTACAGGCCTCGGTGTAACGCTCATTCCTTCGACGATAAACGCAAATCCGACCATCACCCCTGGTGAGACAAAACCGCGACTCTTCAGCGAAGAGCACTTTTTGCAAAACGGTGGGTTTGTGCCCATAGGCGACGTTGCTGCCGGTGATGTCTGGTGAGGATCTGCGTTACAGTAGGCCTACAAGCCCTCAGCCCAGCCTCTCTCAGCCTATTGCGGACAGTCTGAGCACTGATGGAGGGATTGTGCGTTCCTGGTGTAACTTGGGCAGTTGTGTACCATCCTGTACCTGTCCCGCAGGTGTGATGTTCGGATATACCAATCCTGTGCAGGTGTTGTTACACGTGGTCTGCCACTGCGAGGACAATCAGCTGTCCGTCCTGTCTCTCTGTAGCTCTGTCTTAGGCGTTTCACAGTACGGACATTGCAATTTATTTCCCTGGCCACATCTGCAGTCCTCATACCTCCTATGCAGCATACCTTTGCATATGAATGCAGAAGGTGCCGTGCAGATGTTCCAGATCAGGAACAGGTCGCCTACCTCGCGTTGGTCAGTGCGCTAAGCCGGGCACAGTGCGCAGTTTGATTAGGCTAATAATATTGCCTGGGGTTGTTCGGCATGCAAAATGACTTGTAGATCAATGACAAAATGAGGTATTTTCGGAAGTTAGAAATAATGTAATATGAGCAAAAACAAACTTGTGAACCAGCAATTCGTAACGTTTTGAATACATTTTCTGACCGACGCATGCTACGCTATGCTTTGGATTGGTTTGGGGTCTGTGGACCGACACACATGTACTCTAGTATGTGGACACCCCTTCAAATTAGTGGATTTGGCTATTTCAGCCACACCCGCATAAAATCGAGCACCCAGCCATGCAATCTCCATAGACAAACATTGGCAGTAGAATGGCCCGTACTGAAGAGCTCAGTGACTTTCAAAGTGGCACCGTCATAAGATGCCACCTTTCCAACAAGTCAGTTTGTCAAATTTCTGCCCTGTTAGAGCTGCCCCGGTCAGGTGTAAGTGCTGTTATTGTGAAGTGGAAACATCTAGGAGCAACAACGGCTGTGCCACGAAGTGGTAGGCCACACAAGTTCACAGAACGGGATCGCAGAGTGCTGTAGCGTGTAAAAATGGTCTGTCCTCGGTTACAACACTCACTACCGAGTTCCAAACTGCCTCTGGAAGCAACGTCAGCACAAGAACTGTTCGTCGGAGCATGATGAAATGGGTTTCCATGGCCGAGCAGCCGCACAAGCCTAAGATCACCATGCGCAATGCCAACCGTCGGCTGGAGTGGTGTAAAGCTTGCTGCCACGCTTCACCATCTGGCAGTCCGATGGACGAATCTGGGTTTGGCGGATGCCAGGAGAACGCTACCTGCCCGACTGCATAGTGCCAAATGTAAAGTTTGGTGGAGGAGGAATAATGGTCTGGGGCTGTTTTTCATGGTTCGGGCTAGGCCCCTTACTTCCAGTGAAGGGAAATCTTAACGGTAACGCATACAATTACCTTCTCGAGGATTCTGTGCTTCCACCTTTTGTGGCAACAGTTTGGGGAAGGCCCGACCTCACTAATGCCCTTGTGGCTGAATGGAAGCAAGTCCCCGCAGCAATGTTCCAACATCTAGTGGAAAGCCTTTCCAGAAGAGTGGAGGCTGTTATAGCAGAAAAGGGGGGACCAACTCCATATTAATGCCCATAATTTTGGAATGAGGTGATCGACAAGCAGGTGTCCACATACTTTTGGCTATGTCGTGTATCTTGAACATTTGAAACAGGGACTGATGCGTATCGGTGGATTGTTACATCCCTATAAATAAATGTTGTTTTGATTGTCAGACTCCAGTGGAGGACGTTCCTCTGGCCATCGCTCCGTTCCAGGGCCGTGTGCTGGTGGGCGTTGGCAAACTGCTGCGCATCTACGACCTGGGCAAGAAGAAGCTGCTGCGCAAGTGTGAGAACAAGGTGAGACTGGGAGCCTGACGTGTCTCTCACACACAAACACACACACCTACCTCAGTCCTGAGTTCTTTACATCCAGTGTTGGCTCAGTTAAAAGGTAGATAAGATGTAAAAAAAAAGATTGACTACTGTGTAATGATTTATGATTTATCGCTGGTATGTTTTTGATTTCACTCAATTACCAAGGGATCCTTGTGTGAAGTTTGCTATTCTTAATTGAACTTTAAATGTTACAATGTTGACACAGAGGAAGTGTTGGTTGAGGACTAACCTAAATAGTAACTTCAGGTTAAGGTCTCAAAGGAATCAAGGTAACCACTTGAATTATTAGTGATTGGGGAGATGATTGATTTGTAAGAATCTCCTTTCAAAAGCAAAGAGGGCAAGGATAAAAGGCCACCGCTTCGTGCAGCCATCATCCATTGTCCCAGAGGACATTTTACCATGGTCGACCTCTTGTTTAGGTTCCAGACCTTTCAAATAAAATCCATATGGCAGTAGTAGGTCAGTTGATGACCAAGATATTTAGTTGTTTAATGATGTCATCTGTCTCATTTCCAGCATGTCCCCAACCTGGTAACAGGCATCCACACCATCGGTCAGCGGGTCATAGTGACTGACGTACAGGAGAGTCTGTTCTGGGTGCGCTACAAGCGCAGCGAGAATCAGCTGATCATCTTTGCCGACGACACCCACCCTCGCTGGGTCACCACCGCCTGTCTGCTGGACTACGACACCATGGCTTCAGCCGACAAGTTTGGCAACATCAGCATTGTACGTGGTCACTCTTTATTGTTCCTTTCTGACAAAGGTGTTGGGTGTTGTATCGCTTTGTACCTTTTCTCTAGACGCCTCACATTAACCGTTTGATCCAATTTATGATCTGTCAATGATGTTAGCACTTACACTTTGTACCTCCTAAGGTGCGCCTGCCCCCCAACACCAGTGATGACGTGGATGAGGACCCAACTGGGAACAAGGCGTTGTGGGATAGAGGTCTGCTGAACGGAGCCTCTCAGAAGGTACAGACTTTCTGCTCCCCTGTCACAGCATCACAGCTCTGTAGAGACCGGAGCCCAGGAGAACGCTACTTCTGTCTAATTAAGGAATCTGTCTTTTTGTCTCTCTATGGATCACATTTTTTGTCTTAGTGGTGTTGTGGTTTGCCTCATCCCAGACCCAGCTTATAACAGACCTGCTCTCCAAACCTTGGCAGCTGTCCAGGCCAAAATCGCTGTTTAACATGCTGTTTTCCATTTAGCTGTTTATTGGAAGCTTTTAGGAGCTACATTTTTTTGTAGGTAGTCAGTGGGAAATTTCCTCAATTTTGACTTATTGTGGGCAATTGGTAAAAAGGGTGCATGTAAGCAATGTTTTCTGGGTGGTGAGTGTGACGTGAGTGAGAATTTTTCTGTAATGACCATGTCTGTCTGACCCTGTACCATGTCTCTTCTCCTGTGTCAGGCTGAAGTGATCATGAACTACCACATCGGGGAGACTGTGCTGTCTCTGCAGAAGACCACACTGATACCCGGTGGCTCCGAGTCTCTGGTCTACACAACACTGTCTGGAGGCATCGGCATCCTGGTGCCCTTCACCTCCCACGAGGTACCTGACACACACATTCATTAAAGACCTAAAGTACACAACCATCCATATTGAACTGTCTTCATTGGCAGGACTTGAAAACAGGGAAGTTATGTTCATAGAATAAGGAATTAGAATACTAGAATGTACATTAACCTTCTTATGATGGGATCAAGGTCAGCCAATTTGGTCAGGGAGTTGGTCAACCATGGTTTACCAGTTCTGTGATAAGATATTGTGTAAAATAATTAATTTGAAGAATTTATCTGCACTGTATGTTTGTTAGCTAGCTAGCCAGCTAGTTTTAGAGGAATGTTTCCATAAATCTTTCAAATTAACTTTCAAACAATGCAGTCAATCCACAGCCATACACTGGCTGAAATCAGTTGATGATAGGACTTAGACAAGTTGTAAATGCAACAAGTACTGATATTGTATCATATAATGGTACTCTCACAGCTTTCCAAGAAAACTAAAAATAACATTTGTAGTTTGTTTACATATATTTTAGAGGCTATTTATATAGACAATTTGTATAAAACCTTTATAAACTGTATTTATAATTATGACAATATTTTAGGTTGACAATTCTATTACACAATGTCTGATCTCACATGCCTTTTATTTTCCTTTAAGTAAAATCAGGATTATGCCTCCACTGCCTTTAATTCCTATTAGAGTGGTTTGGATTTCTCCCTGACCAATATGGCTGCCATTTTCACACCATTCTGGAACTTTGAAGGTTTATGACATAGCCCCTCTAGTAATTTTAATAGGATCTCTATGGTTATGTTGTTGAAGTGATGTCATGTCTCTTCTCTGACAAACCAATGGAGAGAGCTTAAACATCTCTGATCTCAGCATATACACAGATCATCTCTCACATTTCTCTAATTTCCTCAACCATCCACAATTATACATAATGAATGATTGTTTTTGACTTAATATAGTGTATGTGAATGTTTTGATATATTTATGGCACTTATTAATCTATGGTGTGCCTCTTATCTGTCCTCAGGACCATGACTTCTTTCAGCACTTAGAGATGCACATGCGCTCAGAGTTCCCCCCTCTTTGTGGGAGGGACCACCTCAGCTTCCGCTCCTACTACTTCCCTGTAAAGGTGGGTACTAACTAATTTAAGTTGACTTACTATTCCCATAGGATGGTTGGACAAAGAAAGCCACACTTTATACTCCCTGCTACTAATTCCTCATTATGTAGATGGAATGTGTACAGAGGACACCACTATGTTTACAAATGTAGTCTGGTACCAAATCCACTGGGTGAAAAGTTATGCCAAGAACCAACTAGTGTGTGTGGGCTCTTTCCAAGTCCAGTACATTTAGCTGGATCATACACGCTGTGAATTATTAAGTCTGTGTCGAACATGATGGCAGAAATAAATTAGAAGCCTTGTTCTTTGGCCACCCAGACAGTCTGCCTACTGTATCTGACCTTCTTCATCTGTTCTGTCTATCTGTGTGTCTGCAGAATGTGATAGACGGAGATCTGTGTGAGCAGTTCAACTCCATGGACCCCCACAAGCAGAAGAGTGTTGCTGAGGAGCTGGACCGTACACCACCTGAAGTCTCAAAGAAACTGGAGGACATCCGCACACGTTATGCCTTCTAGAACCCTCATGTTCTGTACATACACAAATACACTCACACATACAAACTGTCATTTACAACAACTTACATGTTGACTGTGCTGCGCGGTGGAAATCAGCAGCACACCTGTTCCCCTGTTTTAACATGAAGAGGAGGTGAGAGCTTTCATGGTTTCCTGCCGAGAAGTCGGCAGAACATATTTTTCCTAAGTCTTCATCTATGGATGCTCAGAATTGACCTTTAGGCCCTGATTTGTTTGTTTGGCCTATAAATACTTAACATTCTATGGTGAATATTTACCACGTGGTTTTCACTCATAGGATGCCATTTAAACCTAGCCGGATTTAGAATTTATCATGTGTATTTCACCAGTGCTATAGACGCATACAGGAGAATTCATTAGGTTTTAATGCGTGTGATGCATGGCCTAATAAACCCTTTGATATAATTAGCTCAACTGTTTTTGCATTGTGTGTATTTGTTGAAACAATCCTTTTTGAGTATTTTTGCTGTAATTGAGTGCCACAAATGAAAAATACTTTGTTTTCTTTTCAATGTCAATTTTGATCCTAAAAAGATTTTGGATACTCCAACAGCTGTTTTTTTTTATGTGCTTAAAAAGTGTATTCCTTTGATGGACAAATTGTCCACATCTATTATACAAGATGACAGGATTGTGTACAATAGCAAAGGAATACAGCTGGATTGTGGACCTCAAATGTTGTTTTTTTTGCCCTTAATAGTCCTGTAAACTCCAAACACCAGCCACAATCCCCACACTGTAGATGAGACACCATTCCATATTAGTCATGGGGGAAAATAAAGTTTGTAAATAAAGTTTTTTTTAAATCTCTTGTACTTCCTTGTCTGTCACTATAGCTATGTTCCCATTAATTTGCTAGGGTGTGTTTCCATTTAACTATCTTGTGTCCATAATAACAGCTGGAGGTAAAGTCACACACACACAAAAAATACTTAAACAACCTGCAGTAGCTAGGTTTCCATCCAATTGGCAAGATTTTCATGCGAATATTCTTAAAATCCTCATAAAAACAATGCATTTTCCCACCAGAGATGTTTCCATCAAATTGGCTTGTTGAAGATAAAAGGCTGTGCATGCTGCACAAAAAAATACATTTTGCAGTTAAATTCCCATGTACCAAATAAAACATTTGTTTAATGGGTTTCCATCGCATTTTCAACTCTACTGATGGTTTTCTAACAATTTGTTTTTGCCATTATATAGCGAGTGTGCCCACTCTGGTCTTGGCACCTGAGCTCTATCCATCCCATGGTTTCCCAAACTCGGTCTTTTTTTAAAAACTATCCCCTGTAATTATTAATATTTAAATAAATTGACAGTTATGACGGAAGCCTGGAGTTTTTTTTTCTTCTAGGTGTTAAAATATTCCAACAAATCAGGACGATAACAGGCTACAATGATAACTCGATCTTGGTTCCCAAGTTTCTAATCCATATTAAACCATATTTTGTATAGTGTCGCCATAATATTTCATTTGTGGACGTGTGATCATAATCATTAGGATATTTTAGGGATCCGCAGTAAAAAACGTCCTTAATGCCACCCAGCCTTCAGATGTGAGCTAAACAGCGCACTTGCACTTGATATGCGTTTTTAGCCTATGAATGAGAAAGTGAACTTGTCATTTCCAAACGTTTAGCTCAGTTGTATGCCGCTTTGCGATCTATTAACAGCAAGGGTTGCATTAAATAGGCGCAAAAAAATGTTATGATGCATTTGGCGATGTTCAATTAATTCGTAAACAATAATTCACTGAAAGTTGATAAATGTAGGCTCTTCATATATAGGCTATGCGCAGCACATCAGTTATTGTTTTCTTGCTAAAATTATTAGCAACACCTGTCAAACTCAGACATTTCTCTCAAAGGACTGGGATGTCGATTCGCACAGGACTAGTATTATCAGAGGACTTTGGAGTTTGCAAAAAACAGTTGGTTATTCTGGCTGGAATTGTTAGTCTCCTGCCTTGTAAAAATGCAATATGATGGTTACTCTATAAATATTTGCGCATAAAAGCGTCTCCACCGACATTTCTCGCATAATTCATTTTACCAACAGACTTATTCTTGGCCTTGTCATGAGGTCAGATAAAATGTAAATGTGAGAGCATGTGACTAAAATTTAATTTTTAACTTGATTATCGATGTGGGTGTTACTAAGGCAATTAGTCAATGTTGTGACATGGGTATTATTAGGACATTCAAATATCATCTTTATATTTCAAGATAAGGCACTGATGCCCAACAACTATACTGACATGGACTAAGCAGTGGGTTATGCTGAGTCATTTCCTCTACTTTTCATTTCAACATGTCATTCAACAGCTGAACATTATACTATTATACCATTCTTGAGGATGGTGAGATTGCCACCAACATACAGTGCATTCGGAAAGTATTCAGACCCCTTGACTTTTTCCACATTTTGTTAGGTTACAGCCTTATTGTAAAATTGATTAAATATTTTTTTCCCTTAATCTACACACAATACCCATAATGACAAAGCAAAAACAGGTTTTTAGAAATGTTTGCACATTTACAAAAAATAAAAAACGGAAATGTAACATTTACATAAGTATTCAGAACCTTCACTCAGTACTTTGTTGAAGCACCTTTGGCATCGATTACAGCCTCGAGTCTCCTTGGGTATGATGCTACAAGCTTAGCAGACCTGTATTTGGGGAGTTTCTCCCATTCTTTTCTGCACAGCTATTTTCAGGTCTCTCCAGAGATGTTAGATCGGGTTCAAGTCCGGGCTCTGGCTGGGCCACTTAAGGACATTCAGAGACTTGTCCCGAAGCCACTCCTGCGTTGTCTTGGCTGTGTGCTTAGGGTCGTTGTCCTGTTGGAAGGTGAACCTTCGCCCCAGTCTGAGGTCCTGAGCGCTCTGGAGCAGGTTTTCATCAAGGATCTCTGGACTTTGCTACGTTCAACTTTCCCTCGATCCTGACTAGTCTCCCTGCCGCTGAAAAACAGCCCCACAGTATGATGCTGCCACCACCATGCTTCACTGTAGGGATAGTGCCAGGTTTCCTCCAGACGTGACGCTTGGCATTCAGGCCAAATAGTTCAATCTTGGTTTCATCAGACCAGAGAATCTTGTTTCTTATGGTCTGAGAGTCCTTTAGATGCCTTTTGGCAAACTCCAAGCGGGCTGTCATGTGCCTTTTACTGAGGAGTGGCTTCAGTCTGGCCACTCTACCTGATTGGTGGAGTGCTGCAGAGATGGTTGTCCTTCTGGAAGGTTCTCCCATCTCCACAGAGGAACTCTGGAGCTCTGTCAGGGTGACCATCAGGTTCTTGGTCACCTCCCTGACCTTATGTAGACAGGTGTGTGCCTTTACAAATCATGTCCAATCAATTGAATTTACCACAGGTGGACGCCAATCGAGTTGCAGAAACATCTCAAGGATGATCAATGGAAACAGGATGCACCTATGCTCAAGTTCGAGTCTCATAGCAAAGGGTCTGAATAATTATGTAAATAAGGTATTTCAATTTTTTTATATATAAATTAGCGACACAAAAAAGAAACGTGTTTCTGCTTTGTCATTATGGGGTATTGTGTGTAGATTGATAAAAAATATATTTTATCAATTTTAGAATAAGGCTGTAACGTAACAAAATGTGGAAAAAGGGAAGGGGTCTCAATACTTTCCGAATGCACTGTATTTAGGCATAGTTAAGGGAAGTGTTTGGAAAGTTGCAGTGTAGTATCTTTCACTGAGGTTATTTGTGCATATTTGTGTGATCATTGTTATCCCAGTGGATGTTGGTTATTAATTGGAATTCTGAATTTGGTTGTCATTCACCACAGTTTGACTCAAGACTTAACCCGTTGCCATGTCAATGTGGACTCTCAAGATTAGGGTAAACATAATTTCTGCTGGCCAGAGAAAGATGTCCCAATTATGCACAAATGCATGCATTTCTTTAGTTCAATATGTTATAATTTGTGTTCTTATTTACTTCAATGTGTTCTAAAGTAACTTCATTTTATTCAAACTTCCTGATGGTGTAACTGCAAGCAAGAATTCAAACATTACAAGACTAACTACACTTGTGAGCACCAGGGTCGTTCCACTTAGACCCTGCCCCTTGGTTGAGGGTGTAAGGATGCTGAAGATGGAAATTTCCATCACTGGAGAGTCATTGTTCTCCATCTTCTGGGATTTCCCCCCTGATGTCACTTAGTCTGGACTAGCAGATGGTGTTATGATCGAGGTTTGGTTTGCAATGTTGGGGTCTGCATGGAATGCCCCTGCCCTTCTCTCTAAAATTCTTAAGTGTCTATCTGGCTCTTGGCCCACCGCCTGAAATCTCAAATGAGGGTGCAAACACAACTTCTTGATGTGAAAACATACAATAAAACAATATTGTGTATCAGAGGTGTTTGCTTTCACCACCATGTTTTCACACAGAGTAGATGAACGGAAGGAAACAAGGGTGTGAATGAATCAGAGGTGTTTGCTTTCACCAGCATGTTTTCACACAGAGCAGATGAAGGGAAGGAACAAGGGGGCGAGAATGCCACTTTAATACTGTTAGCTACCCACTCCTACTAGTGTGATGATGACATTTATTAAATTCTAATTATGCCTAGATTTTGATCTGACAGCTAACTAACGGATGATAATAATGAATGGACTTGGGTCAGAGTGCAAATTAATGTCAACCAATACCTGTATATTCCTTAAACTGCAACATTCAGCTTTAGAAATTTGACCAAAACCAACTAACCACTCCTGAAGCCATTGAGGTATTAGTTGCCAGATCTTGTCATTCCTGCCCACCTCACTACCACGGGATAAAGGCCAAAGAATCCATAATGATCCACATGGGCGTTTGAGGTGGGACAATTTGGTACCCTAGCTGTACCCTTTATTTCTGTATAGTTGTATAATGTTAGTGGGGCATATTACTTTGTTTTAATGTTACTCCTTAATCACTATGATAAATATAATAGTTTTCTTGAGTATACTTTTAACAAATCTGAGATTTACTTTGAAGCGCAAAGTGTAGCAATACAGGTGAAATCAGTTATTGACACAGACCTGATGGCGTAGCAGGAAGATTGGAATGCTGTGAACCAAGACGTAGTGAGTTCAAATCCCAGGTGAGGACATGATGAATATGAATATCTGTTTAAATGAACATGCATTTGGATAGTATTCAGACTTTTTCCACATTCTGTTAGGTTACGGCCTTATTCTAAAATTGATTAAATAAATACAAATCCTCATCAATCTACACACAATACCCCATAATGACAAAACGAAAATACCTTATTTACATATGTATTCAGACCCTTTCCTCTGAGACTCGAAATTGAGCTCAGGTGCATCCTGTTTCCATTGATCATCCTTGAGATGTTTCTACAACTTGATTGGAGTCCACCTGTGGTAAATTCAATTGATTGGACATTATTTGGAAAGGCACACAACTGTCTATATAAGGTCCCACAGTTGATGGTGCATGTCAGAGCAAAAACCAAGCCATGAGGTCGAAGGAATTATCCGTAGAGCTCCGAGACAGGATTGTGTCAAGGCACAGATCTGGGGAAGGGTACCAAAACATTTCTGCAGCATTGAAGGTCCCCAAGAACACAGTGGCCTCCATCATTATTAAATGGAAGAAGTTTGGAACCACCAAGACTGTTCCTAAAGCTGGCTGCCTGGCCAAACTGAGCAATCGGGAGAGAAGGGCCTTGGTCAGGGAGGTGACCAAGAACCCGATGGTCACTCTGACAGAGCACCAGAGTTCCTCTGTTGTCGAAGTGGGAGAACCTTCAAGAAGGACAACCATCTCTGCAGCACTCCACCAATCAGGCCTTTATGGTATGGCCAGATGGAAGCCACTCCTCAGTAAAAGGCACATGACAGCCCGCTTGGAGTTTGCCAAAAGGCACCTAAAGGACTCAGACCATGAGAAACAAGATTCTCTGGTCTGATGAAACCAAGATTGAACTCTTTGTCCTGAATGCCAAGCGTCACATCTGGAGGAAACCTGGCACCATCCAGCATGGTGGTGGCAGCATCATGCTGTGGGGATGTTTTTCAGCGGCAGGGACTGGGAGACTAGTCAGGATTGAGGGAAAGATGAACGGAGCAAAGTACAGAGAGATCCTTGATGAAAACCTGCTCCAGAGCACTCAGAACCTCAGACTGGGGCGAAGGTTCACCTTCCAACAGGACAACAACCCTAAGCACACAGCCAAGACAATGCAGGAGTGGCTTCGGGACAAGTCTCTGAATGTCCTTGAGTGGCCCAGCCAGAGCCCGGACTTGAACCTGATTAAACATCACTGGAGAGACCTGAAAAAAGCTGTGCAGTGACGCTCCCCATCCAACCGACAGAGCTTGAGAGGCTCTGCAGAGAAGAATGGGAGAAACTCCCCAAATACAAGTGTGTCAAGCTTGTAGCATCATACCCAAGAAGACTCAAGGCTGTAATCGCTGCCAAAGGTGCTTCAACAAAGTACTGAGTAAAGGCTCTGAATACAAATATGTAAATTGGAAAATTGAAAACATTGTATGTTAAAAGCACTGCGAGTGTGTAACTAGTTCCACAGCTTTTCTTAGATGCCAAAATTATAATTTGTAGTTGAATGAACATATGAGACAAATTGAGCAAACACATCATTTTAAGTTGACTGAATTTTTGACTACGTTTTTGCCTACATTTCCTCATGTTGGAGCTAAGTTTGGCATGCTAGTAGATACCCATAGACTTCCATTCATTGCGCCAATGCTAGTTAGCATTGACTTGCGAGACAACCTCTAACTTCCTTCATACTGGACACAGAGACATAAAAATGGTATCATCTGACTCTGAGGAAGTAGAGAAAGGGCATCATTGCCAGAATCGCGAAGTATCCCTTTAAGTTCCGAGAATACTTTGACTGAAAAGTTGAGTAAAAAAAAAAAAGGGTTTAGTTGAAACAACTAGATATATATATATTTTTTAACAGTGTATGCTGGCCACATGGATGACCTAGAGTAGTCTTGCTGTGTTCACAACAGACTCTGTGCCCTTTGCAGAGGATAAGTCAATCAATCAAATGTATTTATAAAGCCCTTTTTACATCAGAAGTTGTCACAAAGTGCTTACACAGAAACCCAGCCGAATACCCCAAAGAGCAAGCAATGCAGATGTAGAAGCTCTGTCGCTAGGAAAAACTCCCTAGAAAGGCTGAAACCTAGAAAGGAACTAGGCTCTGAGGGGTGGCCAGAGAGAGCGAGATGGGAGACAGTGATGTGTGAATGTCATGCGATGATGTGATTGTGAATAGATTGCATACATGCCTGGACCGGTGACCCTAATGTGGAGTCCTATCCTCACCTACCATTATTAAACGCAAAGAATGTGTTTCAGAGGGCAGTCCAATCAGGGATGAGATAGCATTATTTCGGTGAGAGGTAGGGCATTGGATGGAAAGTGAAAGTAAAAACCCGTGACATGTAGAAGCATGTTTTTTTAACAGGCTCTGCACCTCATGTGGATCTGCTGCTGGAGACGACCAGGTTCGCAATTCATATTTGCACATTTTGGAGAGCTGGGGGCCAAAGAGGGCAAAGAAAGGGAGGCTTCCGTTAGTTTCCAAAATTCGCTTTGGTCTGAGACGGGGGTTTTGTCACTGACAGGTTTAACGCACGCGTTGTTTCCCAGATTTAAGTCATTTGTGTGGAGCATGTATGCTTTTGATCGCTGCTGCTGCTGGTTATTCTGAAGATACTGGAGTGCTGAAGTGACGAGTTTCAGTGGAATTACAGGTGCGATCGTGCAGGTTTGAAAATGGAATTGCGATTTGTAACGCGTTGCGCAAATATTGGATCTGCTGCGCTGCATAGGCTACTACTGCGCTGCCCACTTTTGTTATATGGTCTTACATATTGTTATTAAAAGATAATAAGTAAGACTAACAGGCTATTACTGAATATTGGAAACCCGAAGGTGCTCTTTTGATATTGTAGGCTATATGGCTAAATAATGAAGACCCCTGGGATCCATCCATCCATTGGATAGATAATGTAACCTTCCCCCTCATTATTTAGAGGCATGTTGCGTTGTTATTTGTCAGTGTATGCCGACCATATTATGCTATGCATTTTATTTTTATATACAGTACCATGTGTGTCCAGACATGTGTAATTTATTTTGGCACTGCCCTCCACTTTTCTACAAGTTACATCTATGATGTGTGATACATTTTCTTGATATCAATTTTATAATAATTATCCGTAATTTTTTTTTTTTACTGATCATGGAAATTCACGTGAATGAATAATCACATCATTCACATTTGGGGTGTACTCAGACCCAAATCTAGATTGCAAATTAATTATTAATAGATTGTATCACTGATATATTAATCTTACTTAACACCATGTATTTATAAGTCTGTAATAACCGTATTACATTGGCTTTACTGCAAGTGAATATGCGTTATAGATTCATTATTCGAATTATTATTTAATTGAGAAAGATGGCAGAGCATTTACAGCCATTTATTGAAATAATTGCTGGTTAAGTGAGGGAAAGTCATTCCTAGAGTGGAGTTCTTTATGCACTGGTTTTGGCAATGCAGTACTTCAAACTTCAAACTCAGCTAATGACCCATGTCTCCTTTTACATTTACATCATTTAGCAGACTTTTTGACATAAAGTGGTTGGTGGCCCTAAATGTACACACAGGTGTGTCTGCCATCAAATATCAGCTTAAACTGTACATTGCTTATTTCCTGTCCTTTCAACCTCAAATGCTCTGACAAGGCCGATATATAAAGCTTAATAAAGAGCAGTGATACTAGCAAGAGCACTGTGCGGGTTTCTTCTTTTTTCTCTGTTCTTTCAACCTGACAAGAGTACTGTTTGTTTGTAGCTATTCAGGAAAAAAAACGAATTAATACCAGTGAAGAAAGTGAATGTTGAAATGTCTAAAAATACCTGTCTGTGTTGCTGTTACAGGCTAACAAGAAGCGAAAAGGGTCTGGAGGTGCTCTCGAACAGTCTGAGGCTTCCAGCGTGTTTAGACAGGGACCTCAGTTGGAGCATGGTCCGGCCAACAGCCTGGCTCCTGGGTGGGCTATTGGGTAAGAGAAGTGCTGTGGTGCATGTGCATGTGTGAAGAATTGGGGGGCTTGCGGATATCACGCTGATCTACAGCAACTGCCCTGGGAACTACGTATCAGGCCAAAGGCTAGAGTCTTCTTGACATATTGTTGGGAAAGAATCAAGCTTCCAAATGTAGTGGGAACAGAACTGAGATGATGTGTAGTGGTAGTTTAGTTTGACATCATCAAGGTTATTCCTGGTTTCATTAATAAGTTATGTTTCTGTTGCAATGGGCACGGTGAGACTACATCACATCAACCACTTATACGTTTATAAGTTTAAAAGCGTACTGCCCTTAATAGTGTGAGGAAGCACATCTGTCAGTTGATTTAAGAGATAATAGTCGTCTCTGTAAACTGAAGAACTATTACCATAAATCATCACAGACAAACAATGTATATTTCAAAGAGCTCAAGCTAGAAAGTGCAAAGGAGAGAGACAGTAGAAAATGTCTATGGGTTTAATTACTTCCTATCTCAGATAGAGAGACCACAAACAATAGGTATTGCGTAGGTCCGGTTTCTGTTGCAAAAAAAAAGATAGTGGTTAAACCTTGTTGTCTTTGTATCTAACCACCTCCTGTAACAGAGAGAGAGAGAGACACATACAGGAGTAAAAGAAAGATACGAAGAACGTATAATTATTGAAAGCAAGAGAGGGGGGTGGGGTGAGTGAGGTACAGTGGGGAAAAAAAGTATTTAGTCAGCCACCAATTGTGCAAGTTCTCCCACTTAAAAAGATGAGAGAGGCCTGTAATTTTCATCATAGGTACACGTCAACTATGACAGAAAAATTGAGGAAAAAAAATCCAGAAAATCACATTGTAGGATTTTTAATGAATTTATTTGCAAATTATGGTGGAAAATAAGTATTTGGTCACCTACAAACAAGCAAGATTTCTGTCTCTCACAGACCTGTAACTTCTTCTTTAAGAGAATCCTCTGTCCTCCACTCGTTACTGTCAAAAGAACCGATGTGGATGTGGTGGAGGAGTCAGGCGCAGGACACAGAGGATTCGTCCAAAATACTTTACTAGTCCAAAGTGCAACAAAACAATACACGACCTCGAAAACAAACGGAGGCGAGGGAATTACGCAACATGCGTAAAACAATAAACAAAACTAACAGAGCGCAAACACGCAGCTCCGCACGACAGGCAAACAACAACACACAATCTAACTAATACAAAACAGGGAACTTATAGGACACGTAATCAGAACACAAACAGACACAGGTGTACAAGACAGACTAAAGCAATCACACCACGAAACATACAACGGTGGCAGCTAGTACTCCGGGGACGGCGAACGCCGAAGCCTGCCCGAACCAGGAGGAGGAGCAGTCTCGGCCGAAACCGTGACAGTACCCCCCCCTTGACGCGCGGCTCCAGCCGTGCGCCGACCCCGGCCTCGGGCGCGTGGGATGCCCACGGTGGAACTCAGTCAGGAGGGATGGATCGAGGATGTCCCTCCTAGGCACCCAGCACCGTTCCTCCGGACCGTACCCCTCCCACTCCACGAGATACTGGAGACCACTCATCCGGCGCCTCGAGTCCAAGATGGTCCGGACCCTGTACGCCGGGGCCCCCTCGATGTCCAAAGGGGGCGGAGGGGTCTCTCCTATCTCATCTTCTTGGAGTGGGCCAGCTACCACCGGCCTGAGAAGAGACACATGGAACGAGGGGTTAATATTTTTGTATTCAATAGGCAGTTGTAACCTGTAACACACCTCGTTCAATCTTCTCAGGACTTTGAAGGGCCCCACAAACCGCCGACCCAGCTTCCGGCAGGGCAGGCGGAGGGGCAGGTTTCGAGTCGAGAGCCAGACTCGATCTCCCGGTGCGTACACCGGTCCCTCACTGCGGTGGCGATCGGCGCTCGCCTTTTGTTGACGGATGGCCCGCTGCAGATGGACATGGGCAGCGTCCCACGTCTCCTCCGAGCGCCGAATCCACTCGTCCACCGCAGGGGCCTCGATCTGGCTCTCGTGCCACGGTGCCAGGACCGGCTGATACCCTAAAACACACTGGAAAGGTGTTAAACCGGTGGAGGAGTGGCGGAGAGAGTTCTGGGCCATCTCGGCCCAGGGGATATACCTGGACCACTCCTCCGGCCGGTCCCGCCAATAGGACCTCAAAAACCTACCCACATCCTGGTTGACTCGTTCAACCTGCCCATTGCTCTCTGGGTGGTACCCCGAGGTAAGGCTCACCGAGACCCCCAAGCGTTCCATGAACGCCCCCCAGACTCTGGAGGTAAACTGGGGACCTCGGTCAGACACAATATCCTCGGGGACCCCATAGTGCCGGAACACGTGGGTAAATAGGGCCTCGGCGGTCTGTAGGGCAGTAGGGAGACCCGGCATTGGGAGGAGACGACAGGCCTTGGAAAACCGATCCACAACGACCAAAATGGTGGTATTCCCCTGGGAAGGGGGTAGGTCGGTCACAAAATCCACCGAGAGGTGGGACCATGGTCGTTGTGGAACGGGCAGGGGATGTAACTTACCCCTGGGCAAATGTCTAGGCGCCTTACACTGGGCGCACACCGAGCAGGAGGAGACATAAACCCTCACATCCTTAGCTAACGTTGGCCACCAGTATTTCACGCTAAGGCAGTGCACTGTCCGGCCAATACCTGGATGTCCAGAGGAGGGTGATGTATGAGCCCAATAAATAAGACGATCACGAACCTCGAGCGGAACGTACTTCCGCCCCACAGGACACTCGGGGGGAGTAGGGTCGGCACGCAGTGCCCGCTCGATTTCCGCATCGACCTCCCATACCACCGGAGCCACCAGACAAGACTCCGGCAGTATGGAAGTGGGCTCAATGGACCTCTCCTCTGTGTCATACCGCCGGGACAGGGCGTCTGCCTTACCGTTCTGGGACCCTGGGATGTATGTGATCTTAAAAACAAACCGGGTCAGGAACATGTTCCACCTAGCCTGACGAGGGTTCAATCTCCTAGCTGCCCGGATGTACTCCAGGTTACGGTGATCGGTCAGAATGAGGAAAGGGTGTTGAGCCCCCTCAAGCCAATGCCTCCACACCTTTAGGGCCTGGACTACAGCTAACAGCTCCCTGTCCCCAACGTCATAATTGCGCTCCGCCGAGCTGAGTTTCTTAGAGTAGAACGCACAGGGGCGGAGCTTAGGTGGCGTGCCGGACCGTTGTGACAGGACTGCCCCAATACCGGTCTCGGACGCGTCTACCTCTACTTGGAATGGTAAAGAGGGATCCGGATGCGCCAGCACCGGGGCCGAGGTGAACAGGTTCTTCAGTTTGACAAATGCCCTGTCCGCCTCAGCTGACCACTGCAGACGAACCGGACCCCCCTTTAACAGGGACGTAATGGGCGCTGCAACCTGTCCAAAGCCCCGAATAAACCTCCGGTAGTAATTAGCAAAACCCAAGAACTGCTGCACCTCTTTTACAGTGGTTGGAGTTTGCCAATTACGCACGGCCGACACACGGTCTACCTCTATCTCCACACCAGACGCGGACAACCGATAACCCAAAAAGGAGACGGACTCCTGGAAGAACAGGCATTTCTCTGCCTTGACATACAAGTCATGCTTCAACAGTCTTCTCAACACTCGGCGCACCAGGGCTACATGCTCGGCTCGTGTAGAAGAGTACACTAGGATGTCGTCGATGTACACTACCACACCCTGCCCATGCATGTCCCGGAAAATCTCGTCAACAAAGGATTGGAAGACTGAAGGAGCATTCATTAGCCCGTATGGCATGACGAGATACTCGTAATGACCCGAGGTGGTGCTAAATGCCGTTTTCTATTCATCCCCCTCCCTAATGCGCACCAGATTGTACGCGCTCCTGAGATCCAACTTTGTGAAGAACTGCGCTCCGCGTAATGACTCCGTCATAGTCGCAATCAGTGGAAGAGGGTAACTGTACTTAACCGTGATCTGATTGAGACTACGGTAATCAATACACGGGCGCAAACCCCCGTCCTTCTTCTTCACAAAGAAGAAACTCGAGGAAACCGGGGAAGTGGAGGACCGTATGTATCCCTGTGCCAAGGACTCGGCTATGTAAGTCTCCATAGCCGCTGTCTCCTCTTGAGACAGGGGATACACACGGCTCCGCGGAAGAGCCGCTCCTGTTTGGAGATTTATCGCACAGTCCCCCTGTCTATGAGGTGGTAGCCGTGTTGCCCTCGTCTTGCTGAACACGAGTGCTAAGTCCTCATACTCAGGGGGAATGCGCATTGCGGGCACTTGGTTCGGACTCTCAACCGAGGTCGCCCCTAAGGAAACACCTAGACATCTCCCTACACACTGGGCAGACCACTCCATAAGAGCCCTCTGTTGCCACGCAATGGTAGGATCATGGGTGCTTAACCAGGGAAGCCCCAACACCACGGGGTACGCAGGAGAGTCAATCAGATAAAACTGAATGATCTCCTCATGACCCCCCTGCGTCGTCATAGTAAGTGGTGCTGTGACTTCTCTGATCAGCCCCGACCCCAACGGCCGGCTGTCTAAGGCGTGGACAGGAAAGGGGGCTTCTACCGGCCGAAGGGGAATTCCAAACCTATAACAAAATGCCCGATCAATAAAATTCCCAGCTGCGCCTGAATCTACTAGCGCCTTATGCTGGGAATGAGGTGCCACCTGTGGAAATCTCACAGGAATACTCATGTGACCAACAGAAAGCTCTGGGTAAGTGGGGCGCCTACTCACCTGAAATGACTCCCCAGTGCGTGACCTGTTGTCCCCTCTCCCAGGAGACCCTCCCCAGCACCTGACCGCGGTGTGTCCTCCACGGCCACAGTTGGTGCAGGGGGTGGCCCCCCTCGGGTTCTCTCTCCTCCTCTCTCTAGCGCCAGCACCCCCGAGCTCCATGGGAATCGGCTCGGAGGTGCTGGAGGGTGGAATGGTCGGCCCCCACTCGGGACGTCCGCGGGTAGCCAGCAGGGTGTCGAGACGTATGGAGATGTCCACCAACTGGTCGAATGATAGGTTGGTGTCCCTGCAGGCCAGCTCACGACGAACGTCCTCTCGTAGGCTGCACCGGTAATGGTCGATGAGGGCCCTCTCATTCCACCCCGCATCCGCCGCTAGCGTCCGGAACTCCAGTGCGAACTCCTGTGCGCTCCTCTTCCCCTGTCGGAGGTGGAACAGGCGCTCCCCCGCCGCTTTCCCTTCAGGTGGGTGATCGAAGACAGCCCTGAAGCGGCGGGAGAACTCCGCGTAGGTGATGGTAGCGGCGTCTATTCCCCTCCATTCGGCGTTGGCCCACTCCAACGCCTTGCCGGATAGACAGGAGATGAGGGCGGAGACGCTCTCGTATCCCGAGGGCGCTGGGTGTATGGTAGCCAGGTAGAGTTCCACCTGCAGGAGGAACCCCTGACACCCGGCTGCAGAACCGTCATATGCCCTCGGGAGCGAGAGCCGAATGCCACTGGGTTCCGGTGCTGAGAGAGGAGGACTGGCCGTTGGTGATGGGATGGAGTAAGAAGGCGTAGGCACCTCTCCAGTCACCAACCGGCGCAGAGTGTTGGACACCTCGTCCATGGCGGCCCCAAGTTGCCGGATCATGGTGTCTTGATGGCTGATCCGCTCTTCCAGCGACTTGGGTGCCGCCGCTACTCCTGCTGACTCCATAGTAGGTGTGTTGTTCTGTCAAAAGAACCGATGTGGATGTGGTGGAGGAGTCAGGCGCAGGACACAGAGGATTCGTCCAAAATACTTTACTAGTCCAAAGTGCAACAAAACAATACACGACCTCGAAAACAAACGGAGGCGAGGGAATTACGCAACATGCGTAAAACAATAAACAAAACTAACAGAGCGCAAACACGCAGCTCCGCACGACAGGCAAACAACAACACACAATCTAACTAATACAAAACAGGGAACTTATAGGACACGTAATCAGAACACAAACAGACACAGGTGTACAAGACAGACTAAAGCAATCACACCACGAAACATACAACGGTGGCAGCTAGTACTCCGGGGACGGCGAACGCCGAAGCCTGCCCGAACCAGGAGAAGCAGTCTCGGCCGAAACCGTGACAGTTACCTGTATTAATGGCACCTGTTTGAACTTGTTATCAGTATAAAAGACACTTGTCCACAACCTCAAACAGTCACACTCCAAACCCCACTATGGCCAAGACCAAAGAGCTGTCAAAGGACACCAGAAACAAAATTGTAGACCTGCACCAGGCTGGGAAGACTGAATCTGCAATAGGTAAGCAGCTTGGTTTGAAGAAATCAACTGTGGGAGCAATTATTAGGAAATGGAAGACATACAAGACCACTGATAATCTCCCTCGATCTGGGGCTCCACGCAAGATCTCACCCCGTGGGGTCAAAATGATCACAAGAACGGTGAGCAAAAATCCCAGAACCCCACGGGGGGACCTAGTGAATGACCTGCAGAGAGCTGGGACCAAAGTAACAAAGCCTACCATCAGAAACACACTGCGCCGCCAGGGACTCAAATCCTGCAGTGCCAGACGTGTCCCCCTGCTTAAGCCAGTACATGTCCAGGCCCGTCTGAAGTTTGCTAGAGTGCATTTGGATGATCCAGAAGAGGATTGGGAGAATGTCATATGGTCAGATGAAACCAAAATATAACTTTTTGGTAAAAACTAAACTCGTCGTGTTTGGAGGACAAAGAATGCTGAGTTGCATCCAAAGAACACCATACCTACTGTGAAGCATGGGGGTGGAAACATCATGCTTTGGGGCTGTTTTTCTGCAAAGGGACCAGGATGACTGATCTGTGTAAAGGAAAGAATGAATGGGGCCATGTATCGTGAGATTTTGAGTGAAAACCTCCTTCCATCAGCAAGGGCATTGAAGATGAAACGTGGCTGGGTCTTTCAGCATGACAATGATCCCAAACACACCGCCCGGGCAACGAAGGAGTGGCTTCATAAGAAGCATTTCAAGGTCCTGGAGTGGCCTAGCCAGTCTCCAGATCTCAACCCCATAGAAAATCTTTGGAGGGAGTTGAAAGTCCGTGTTGCCCAGCGACAGCCCCAAAACATCACTGCTCTAGAGGAGATCTGCATGGAGGAATGGGCCAAAATACCAGCAACAGTGTGTGAAAACCTTGTGAAGACTTACAGAAAACGTTTGACCTGTGTCATTGCCAACAAAGGGTATATAACAAAGTATTGAGAAACTTTTGTTATTGACCAAATACTTATTTTCCACCACAATTTGCAAATAAATTCATTAAAAATCCTACAATGTGATTTTCTGGATTTTTTTTCCTCATTTTGTCTGTCATAGTTGACGTGTACCTATGATGAAAATTACAGGCCTCTCACATCTTTTTAAGTGGGAGAACTTGCACAATTGGTGGCTGACTAAATACTTTTTCCCCCACTGTATATGGATAACTGATGTTTGAGCTCCTGACTGTATATACAGATTGTGCGGTGAGGCATATTCCTAGTCCTTTGTGAAGTGTGTTGTGAGGTCTTGGAGACTTTGCTGACTCTGAGTCTCTATACAGCCATCTGCATCCAAGCCCTGGACCACAGTATCTAACCACACAGTGATCAACAACAGACAGGCTCTGGACTGCATGTCACCACTCATTCTGCCCCCGGCTATGTACAGTCAGAGCTAGTTACTCCTGAGAAAAAATACCCTTTTGTCTAAATAGGCACTACTGTCTCAATCTGAGTTTATACCACAGGACCAAACCAAACAATCCTGTGTTCCCAAACATAATAGCAAAAATGTTCCGCTGACCATGACTGTGTATTGGATGTCTCCTGCCCTTGACCATATGACCACATGCAGATTATGGTCGGTGGTGTAATGGAGTTCACCCACTTTATTTTTTTTGCCCAACAGTTTACCCACCTGCATTGAAAGTATAGGGAGCGCAACTTTTTTTTCCACTGCGACAGGCAATTTTTTTACATTTACATTTTAGTCATTTAGCAGACGCTCTTATCCAGAGCGACTTACAGTTAGTGAGTGCATACATTATTTATTTTTTATACTGGCCCCGCGTGGGAAACGAACCCACAACCCTGGCGTTGCAAACGCCATGCTCTACCAACTGAGCTACATCCCTGCCGGCCATTCCCTCCCCTACCCTGGACGACACTGGGCCAATTGCGCGCCGCCCCATGGGTCTCCCGGTCGCGGCCGGCTACGACAGAGCCTGGATTCGAAACCAGGATCTCTAGTGGTACAGCTAGCACTGCGATGCAGTGCCTTAGACCACTGCGCCACTCAGGAAACTTACCTGAGTGGCGCAGTGGTTTTTACCACTACAAAAGCTGCTATCTAGAACCTAAAAGGGTTCTTTGGCTGTCCCCATAGGATAACCCTTTTTGGTACTAGGTAGAACCCTTTTTGGGTTTCATGTAGAACCCTTTCTACATGGAACCCAAAAGGACTAAACCTTGAACCCAAAAGGGTTCTACCTGGAACCAAAAAGGGTTCTGCTATGGGGTCAGCCGAATAACCCTTTTTGAACCCTTTTTTCTAAGAGTGTACATCACTGATTGTGGTGAAGCGCTTTAGAGGAGATTACTGTTGTGTGAAAATAAAGGTGTTTACTCAGTATTGTAATCTGGCTCAGCTGAGGCTCTCTCTTAGATTGGTGTATTCTCATTGAGATAATGAGTCTGATGGAAAGAAGAGGTCATATTTCAGCATAATTAATTTTAGCACAGCAGCCAGCCAGCCAAAGAGGTCTAGCTAGGAGCTATGGTCTGTCTTTGCACTGTGACAGATGTCTCAACGTCTTTACTCATCTGAGTTCAGTTCACACACCATTATACCACTTCAATGGTGGTAAAAAAAGTAACAAATAATAATTCCCCCACCAAATTAGTGCACTAGGCCTTTATTACTCCGGTATGAGCAGAGAAAAATAATTGTCTACAGGAGGGTAGCTATCCAGGAACAGGGTTGGAGAGCCCTGTATTATATTATATTTATGTTGTGCCCCCTGTAGGTTTGATGTGGGTAATACCTGTTTTGATGACACCCACAACAATTGCCCAGTGCACGTCGTTGAAGACATTGGAAACAAAACTCACCGACAGAAGACGTAATATGGTAAGAAGGGTACAGGATATTAAGACAGTGACTTGCAAGTTTGGAATATGAATGAAATTAGACACACATTAGGGAATACTAGTGTGTGGATTACTGCACAGAAGAATTACATTGAAAGTTGATGTATGTGGAAAAGAGATTAAAGGTGGTATTTTTGTACAAACAATCTGACACCAAAGTCTTTCCTGTCTTTTTAACAGAGGCACAATTTCCCCATTAATTACACCATCAGAGTTCACTTTGAGGAAGTCTTCAAACTTAGCAATATCAGCAGACTAGTGAGTTCCTCCCTTTGTTTCCTAACCTTTATCATTATCACTCATCTAACTTGTTCAGTCAAATGAAAAATGTACATGTCAAACCATCCACTCACTCACCCTTTGTCTACTTTGCTTCCTTATTCTCCTTCCTTTATCTTCACTCTTCATTCTTATCACCCCATACATCTCTATCTGTTCCTCCTATCCCACTCCCCACTATGTCACTTCTTTATCTATTTTCTGTGTCCCTCCAGAGGGTGAGGGTAGTGGATCTGGAGGAGGGGGACCTACAGGATGTGTGGCTGTTGGTCAACCAGGAGGTGTTGAAGAGGATCTTGAGGGTCCTGCCAGAGAGACATCCCTCCTACAAGTACACCGCCGATCTGGAAGACCTCTTCAGGAAGGTCCAGCAGGTGTTCCCACCACAGAGTGATGAGGTGTGTAAGACCGGCTATAGTGTCACTGTCACTGCCCTGCCCATCTCTCTGTGTGGACAAACTTAACTCATAATGGTCATGTACTGTATGTAAATCTCTCAGAAAGAGCCACCAGAGCGAATAGAGGATATCTACAATAGAGTGAAGGAGCCCGACTCAAAAGGGTGGAGGTTCGTGACCCCCAAATCCCTGTTGGATAACTGCTATAGGACAATGCACTGTCTCTTCAAAAACTGCTTTCCCAGTGAAGATGGAGAGCAAGACTGTGAGTTCACTTCATTCCCTTACTATACTTCCTGTCTTCATTTACCTCTTACCTCTGCCCTAACCTCTCTATGTTGGCATTTTCCCCAGGAACACAAACCTACTCAACTGGTTTGGCATGTTTTGTTAATTGTGTCTCTTCAGTGTCTGTAGACACTATGTTGTTCTTATTCAACACTGTTTGAAGAGAGACTGTTGTCAATGCCACAGGTAACCATGAGGTCTCTGCCTTAAAAGGAGAGGGATTGGACAGGCCTGTCAATATCTACTGTTAGCCTGTTTATGAATCATTTACACATCCTATATAGGTTAACACATGACTGTATAATTCGCTTTTAACTACACAGGTTAATTGCATCAGCACCTCTTAAGGTTTATCTGTTCCTTGTTTTACAGAGAGATCAGTAGAGTTGTTGAGGCTAGAGCACATCTGTTAACAATTTAATAGAAGGCCTTACATATGGAAAACGTAAGGCATGAAGGAGTAAAAAGCACTCGTGCAGAACATATATTAGAAGAAAAAATAGCAACAACGTTGTAACACAAATATTGGATTGGTTTAGTGCTTACATCATGGCTAGGACGTTCAAAGCAGGCCCAAAAAAGTTTAATGAAGTGTCATTGATCATTCAAAATAGTTGGTATGCTTTTATCAGAAATATTTAGACATGATTTTAAGATGATTGATCTCAGTCACTTGAACTATTTTCTTCCCTCAGATTGTAGCACTCCTCACTGGCGGAAGGGCAGAAAGAGACAACTACAGGAAACCTGAGGAGGACGCTATTTCTAAACACTGCTAATATACACTGAGTGTAAAAAACATTAAGTACACCTTCTTAATATTGAGTTGCACCACACCCCTTTTTGCCTTCAGAACAACCTCAATTCGTCGGGGCATGGACTCTGCAAGGCGTCGAAAGCGTTCCACAGGGATGCTGGCCCATGTTGACACCAATGTTTCCCACAGTTGTGTCAAGTTGGCTGGATGTCCTTTGGGTGGTGGACCATTCTTGATACACACAGGAAACTGTTGAGCGTGAAAAACCCAGCAGCATTGTAGTTCTTGAGACAAACCGGTGCGCCTGGCACCTACTACCATATCCTGTTCAAAGGCACTTAAATATTTTGTATTGTCCATTCACCCTCTGAATGGCACACATACACAATCCATGTCTCAATTGTCTCAAGGCTTAAAAATCCTTCTTTAACCTGTCTCCTCCCCTTTATCTACACTGATTGAAGTGGATTTAGCTAACACGTGACATCAATAAGGGATCATAGCTTTCACCTGGATTCACCTGTTCAGTCTATGTCATGGAAAGAGCAGGTGTTCATAATGGTTTGTATACTCAGTGGCTTGCGGAAGTATTCACCCCCTTGGCATTTTTCCTATTTTGTTGCTTTACAACCTGGAATTAAAATGGATTTTAGGGGGTTTGTATCATTTGATTTACACAACATGCCTACCACTTTGAAGATGCATTTTTTTGTGTGTGTGAAACAAACAAGAAATAAGACAAAAAAACAGAAAACTTGAGTGTGCATAACTATTCACCCCCCAAGGTCAATACTTTGTGGAGCCACCTTTTGCAGAAATTACAGCTGCAAGTCTCTTGGGGTATGTCTCTATAAGCTTGGCACATCTAGCCACTGGGATTTTGGCCATTCTTCAAGGCAAAACTGCTCCAGCTCCTTCAAGTTGGATGGGTTCCGCTGGTGTACAGCAATTTTTAAGTCATACCACAGATTCTCAATTGGATTGAGGTCTGGGCTTTGACTAGGCCATTCCAAGATATTTAAATGTTTCCCCTTAAACTACTCAAGTTTTGCTTTAGCAGTATGCTTAGGGTCATTGTCCTGCTGGAAGGTGAACCTCCGTCCCAGTCTCAAATCTCTGGAAGACTGAAACAGGTTTCCCTCAAGAATTTTCCTGTGTTTAGCGCCATCCATCATTTCTTAAATTCTGACCAGTTTCCCAGTCCCTGCAGATGAAAAATATCTCCACAGCATGATGCTGCCACCACCATGCTTCACTGTGGGGATGGTGTTCTCGGGGTGATGAGAGGTGTTGGGTTTGCGCCAGACATAGCGATTTCCTTGATGGCCAAAAAGCTAAATTTTAGTCTCATCTGACCAGAGTACCTTCTTCCATATGTTTGGGGAGTCTCCCACATGCCTTTTGGCGAACACAAAATGTGTTTGCTTATTTTTTTCTTTAAGCAATGGCTTTTTTCTGGCCACTCTTCTGTAAAGCCCAGCTCTGTGGAGTGTACGGCTTAAAGTGGTCCTATGGACAGATACTCCAATCTCCGCTGTGGAGCTTTGCAGCTCATTCAGGGTTATCTTTGGTCTCTTTGTTGCCTCTCTGATTAATGCACTCCTTGCCTGGTCCGTGAGTTTTGGTGGGCGGCCCTCTCTTGGCAGGTTTGTTGTGGTGCCATATTCTTTCAATATTTTAATAATGGATTTAATGGTGCTCCGTGGGATGTTCAAAGTTTCTGATATTTTTTTATAACCCAACCCTGATCTGTACTTCTCCACAACTTTGTCCCTGACCTGTTTGGAGAGCTCCTTGGTCTCCATGGTGCCGCTTGCTTGGTGGTGCCCCTTGCTTAGTAGTGTTGCAGACTCTGGGGCCTTTCAGAACAGGTGTATATATACTGAGATCATGTGACAGATCATGTGACACTTGATTGCACACAGGTGGACTTTATTTAACTATGTGACTTCTGAAGGTAATTGGTTGCACCAGATCTTATTTAGGGGCTTCATAGCAAAGGGGGTGAATACATATGCACGCACCACTTTTCCGTTATTTATTTTGTGAAGTTCTTTTTTTAATTTCACTTCACCAATTTGGACTATTTTGTGAATGTCCATTACATGAAATCCAAATAGAAATCCATTTAAATTACAGGTTGTAATGCAACAAAATAGGAAAAACGCCAAGGGGGATGAATACTTTTGCAAGGCACTGTATGTCCAACGTTGCAGTTGATCTGTATGTCATACCCCTCCCTGTGAAGTTCTGATGTAGTTGCACCAACAGTATACCCTGAAAACTATTACCAACGGTATGCAACCCAAACTTCATCTGTCGCTATGGACGCCACAGTAAATAGAGTTGAAGTCGGAAGTTTACATACACTTAGGTTGGAGTCATTAAAACTTGTTTTTCAACCACTCCACACATTTCTTGTTAACAAACTATAGTTTTGGCAAGTCGGTTAGGACATCTACTTTGTGCATGACACAAGTCATTTTTCCAACAATTGTTTACAGACAGATTATTTCACTTATAATTCACTGTATCACAATTCCAGTGGGTCAGAAGTTTACATACACTAAGTTGACTGTGCCTTTAATGGCTTTAGAAGCTTCTAATAGGCTAATTGACATAATTTGAGTCAATTGGAGGTGTACCTGTGGATGTATTTCAAGGCCTACCTTCAAACTCAGTGCCTCTTTGCATGACATCATGGGAAAATCAAAATAAATCAGCCAAGACCTCAGAAAAAAGATTGTAGACCTCCACAAGTCTGGTTCATCCTTGGGAGCAATTTCCAAACGCCTGAAGGTACCATGTTAATCTGTACAAACAATAGTATGCAAGTATAAACACCATGGGACCACGCAGCCGTCATACCACTCAGGAAGGAGACGCGTTCTGTCTCCTAGAGATGAACGTACTTTGGTGCGAAAAGTGCAAATCAATCCCAGAACAACAGCAAAGAACCTTGTGAAGATGCTGGAGGAAACAGGTACAAAAGTATCTATATCCACAGTAAAACGAGTCCTATATCGACGTAACCTGAAAGGCCGCTCAGCAAGGAAGAAGCCAATGCTCCAAAACCGCCATAAAAAAGCCAGACTACGGTTTGCAACTGCACATGGGGACAAAGATCGTACTTTTTGGAGAAATGTCCTCTGGTCTGATGAAACAAAAATATAACTGTTTGGCCATAATGACCATCGTTATGTTTGGAGGAAAAAGGGGGAGCTTGCAAGCCAAAGAACACCATCCCAACCGTGAAGCACGGGGGTGGCAGCATCATACTGTGGGGGTGCTTTGCTGCAGGAGGGACTGGTGCACTTCACAAAATAGATGGCATCATGAGGAAGGAAAATTAAGAGGATATATTGAAGCAACATCTCAAGACATCAGTCAGGAAGTTAAAGCTTGGTCGCAAATGGGTCTTCCAAATGGACAAGCATACTTCCAAAGTTGTGACAAAATGGCTTAAGGACAACAAAGTCAAGGTATTGGAGTGGCCATCACAAAACCCTGACCTCAATCCTATTGAAAATATGTGGATAGAACTGAAAAAGCATGTGCGAGCAAGGATGCCTACAAACCTGACTCAGTTACACCAGCTCTGTCAGGAGGAATGGGCCAAAATTTACCCAACTTATTGTGGGAAGCTTGTGGAAGGCTACCCGAAACTTTTGACCCAAGTTAAACAATTTAAAGGCAATGCTATCAAATACTAATTGAGTGTATGTAAACTTCTGACCCACTGGGAATGTGATGAAAGAAATAAAAGCTGAAATAAATAATTCTCTCTACTATTATTTTGACATTTCACATTCTTAAAATAAAGTGGTGATCCTAACTGACCTAAGACAGGGAATTTTTCCTAGGATTAAATGTCAGGAATTGTGAAAAACTGAGTTTAAATGTATTTGACTAAGGTGTATGTAAACCTCCGACTTCAACTGTACATTCCCTGTGGACTTTGCAGCTTTATCCACTCGCTGTTATTATCTCAGCTTGCCTACAGTTTTTTTTAACTTATCATTCTTTGCCTCCTATGTTGTATACTACTTTGAAAGAGATATTTGATAGTTTTCATATGTGTACTTATAATATATTGTCTGCTGATGTTTATGTTCTGTGTTTTGATTGTGGGTTCTACATGTGTTTAGCCAGTTGTATGGTATAGCGCAGGTGGCTATGCTCAAGCAGAGAGCTACACAGTATGCCATTTCTATTTCTATACTTTTCTATTTTTTGCAATCTGGTAAAACTTGTTGGTGACAGGTATTAGCAACTGTTGCCAATATATACAAGAATAAGAACAGAACACAAACATAGCTACTTTCAGGACTGTTGTCGTCCTCTGTTGCTCAGTTTTTAGAGCATGGCGCTTGCTATGACAGGATAGTGGGTTTAATTACCGGGACCACCCATACTTAAAATGTATGCACACATGACTGTAAGTCACTTTGGATAAAAGCGTCTGCTAAATGGCATATACTGAAC